CTCCATAGCTACTCTTGAGAGTAGGAATTGATGGGTGGTTGGCTTTCATATTATAAGAGAAAGTTCCATAAACAAAACCTTCCTGAGTTTGGTATAGCGCAATTTTTTCAAAAAGGGAGTACATCATAAGATCATCATTTTGATGTCCTGGCAAGACACTAGTAAATACTGAGTTACAGAGTTTAAAACCAGGAAAGTCTCCATTGAGTGGTTGACACTATGTTAACTGCTTCAATTGTTCCTTTGTAACAAAGAAAGCTGACTTCAAGTTATGACCCTTGGTAGACAACACTAAATTGGTAGAATTTTGAGCTTTTGTTCATAGTTATTTTGTTGAGTTTTTTTTCCTCCTTTTTTGGGAGGTACTAGAGTTTGATCTCAGGGCCTTGTGCTTGCGAGGCAGGCAACTTTACTTTTGAGCCAAGCCACTAGCTCTACTCATAGTTTTTTTGTATTTATAACAAATGATATTGATTTTCCATGAAAAGTGTGAGATACAACTTAAGTTGAAAAATTAGTCTACTTAAGAGAAGAACAGTTAGTAATAGTTCAGTTATATGAAGACATTAGACACATTATAAGGTTGTAAGCAAAACAAGTGGAATCTTGGAATATTTAATATAAGTGGATTTGTATTCAGCTTCAGAGGAAAAAGACAACATTGTACAAAACTGAAAATTGGAGACTATTTCATAAAATATTAAATTTATGTTACTCTGTTTTTTAGGATAATACAAATACAACCACAACAACAATTTCTTGATAGTTTATTCTAAGCAGAGTATGAATATTTTCCATATTGGTATCTCATTTAATTTTCAAAATGTAACTCTTTAAATTTTACTGATGGAATAAAGCACCTTTAGGTTAAGGAAATTTAGGGTATTGGAACTTTCAATGACAAGTATTTCAAAGTAGACTTAGTAAAAATCACAACTTTTGGAAAACAAGAAGCAAATATATGTTTTCCGAGAATAACTATGTTTCTGAACATATGCATGTAAGGAGGAGGAGGGTAGAGGAAAGAAAAGATCAGGAAGTATTCACAAATAACACAATCATCTCAAAATCACTAACATTAACAACAAGTGGAAGCTTGCTCCTAGCAGGGGCCTAATTCAGTCTTCTGACAGTATCATACTTTTGAAACAAACCTCAAGAAATATTTCCATCTTTGACAGAATTTCCTTTATGGACTACTGCTGACTGTTCAGTACTTGGCTGACAATTAATATGCTTAGACAAATAAAACAGTAATTTTCTCCCCTAGTTTATACTGAATTGGACAATTTGGAATATGTGTATTTTGAGGGAAAAGGTGCAAAGCATACAAAAATCGTGAGGAACGCTTGCTTTCCATACTTTTATTCAGAAATTTTCTTGCTGGCAACAGCTCTTTTTCTCTTGAGTTAAGGAGGCCCACCCAGCCTTACACATAATTCCCTGTAAAGGGGCAAAGTTATACATTAATTCCTGGTAGACAAGGTTGAAGAACATCAGTGCACAAATCAAATGCATTCCAGAATATCTGTCAGGAACTTGAAACAACACACCAGGGCTGCTGAAAGCAGGTGATGATAGTTATGACATTCCATAGCTTCAAACAAAAAAAAAAAGCCTTTTACTCTCGTTTGTCTCTGCAGGCATCCTTTCAACTCGTCCTTCATTCTGACTGAGCTCTGAAGAGGGGTGCTACATCAGAGAAGAAAGAGCTAGTTCCTTTACGTCTTCATATTCTTTTTTTTTTTTTTTCTTGGTAGTACTGGAGTTTGAATTCAGGGTCCTGCACTTGCTAGGCTGGCACTCAAGTACTTGAGTACATCCCTAGCTCTCAAGATTCTTACGATGAACAAAAAAAATGAAACAACCCTCATCCCCTTAAAAAAACAAAACAAAACAAAAAAAACCCTCTCCTCCCCTTTCTTGTCTTCTTCATTACCCTTAATCTTTTCATGCTTCAGACTCCTTGACTGTTCTGATGTATGGATTCTGTCTTCTGAATCTCTCTTTCTCTCTCTCTCAAGGCTTTGAACTTTCTAGGGAAGCCCTCTGCCACTTGAGCCATGTTCTCAGTCACTTTGTTTCTGTTTTGTTTTTGAGATAGGGTCTTGATAACTATACTGGGCTGGCTCTGAATTGTTGATCCTCCTGCCTTCACCTTCCGAGTAACTGGGATTACAGACATGAGCTGCCATGACTAGCTGACTTGCTACTCTCCTTGCTATTTCTGCTGCTATAAACTAGAAGCACTAAAATGAAACCTTCTATGATTGCTATATTATCCTTTTGGAGTATTAAGGAACAACATTAGAAATCTATAGTATTCTCCAGTTTCATTTACTAATTATATTGAATTCACAGGTGATCAACTGTGTTGTACACAACATAAACACTATAATATTAATCTTAGTTTAAGCTTTTTTCTCACTTTCTTCCTTTACCACAGAAAAATTTTATTTCCAGAAAAGAAAAACATAGGAAGCATTAGTCTTTGTTACTTCTCTCCAAAGTTTTCCTTTCAAACTTTACTTGTTTCTTCCTTCTTCCTTCCCTTTCTCTTCTCTTTCATGTGCTATGATTTTTTTCCTCCCTCCTTCCTTCCTTCCTTCTTTCTTTCTTTTTTAAATGGTACTAGGGTTTGAATTCAGGGTCTCATGCTTGCTAGGCAGGTGCTCTACAACTGGAGCCACTCTGATAGCCCTTTTTTGCATTGGGTATTTTTGAGATAAGGTCTCACAAAATATTTTTCCAGGCTGGCTTTGAGCTATGATCCTCCTGATGATCTCTGCCTCCCAAATAGCTAGGATTACAGGCATGAGTCACTGGCACCCAGCTATGATCTTCTTATTGTCAACAATTCAATATCTGTTCTGTTAGCCAGGCCACTGACAATAGCTCAATATATATATAAAAAAACAACAATTAGTTTTCTAGGGTTTCTGTAACAAAGTACCACAAATGGGTGACTTAAAAGAATAGAAATTTATTTTCTCACAGCTCTGGAGGCCATAAATCTGAAAAGGTGTCAAGGAGGCCAATGTCCTTATAAGGGCCAGAGAGAAATATCCTTGCCTCTCTAGCTTCTGAGGTCCTAGGCTAACCTTGGCTTATTTCCTCCATCTTTACAAGGCCTTCTCCAATGTCTCTGTGTCTCCATTCAGCCTTTTAAGGAAACCAGTCATAGGACTTACTCTGATTTAAATAAGACCTTAACTAATTACACCTGCAAAGACTATATTCCCAAAGTTCACATTCTGAGGTTCCAGGTGCACATGAATTTTGGGGAATACTATTTAATCAAGGACAGATATCTACTGGGCTGTTCTCTTTGGAGGTACTCTCACATATAACTCAAGCCTTAATTTGACCCATGTAGTATTGATATAGCATGTCTACTAAAATCTCTGCAAGTTCAAACTTGCAAAAGTTGTCAGTTCAGCTTTTATTAGCTTACCATGAAAGGATTCTAGCATACTTTCATGAGGGAGGGCCATTAAATAATGCTAAGAAGTTGGACACATCACTGGGATGGTAAATGAATCTTGTTACATTTATGTACCTCAATTTATAATGATTGAGGAATTATTATAATATATAGTTTTGTCCATTCATTTTGTAAGGTCAACTAGAATCACAGAATTATTATATAAGAAATATTTTCTTATATATTAGAATTAAATCTAAACTTTTAGATGAAAAAGGCCTATCATTGTACAGATGAGGCCAGTCAAAGGGAGTGTATATTCTCATTACCTAGTTTGGGAGCAGAACTGGTGAGGCAAAGGCTCCCTAATTCCTTGCTCAATGCTCAAATCAGACCTTTTTATTTACTAAAATAAATAATGCTCATTACGATTTTCCATCTGAATACACTTGAGCTCTTTACTAACCTAAGAACAACTTCAAATATTATTGCATGAATAGGACCCCAGAAAAATATACCTAGTCAGGACACTCTCCTCCAAAATAACACCTTCCTCTATTCTATGAGTCTGTGAATCTTTAGTGTTAGAAAATTATGTGGAGGCAAAAAATATTGTTCATTTCATATTTTCTAAAGTTCTTCTAATAGAATATATGACTAGACATGATAAAATCAATTTTAAACAGTAAATCTTGAACAATACAATAAAGCTTGTCCCCAGTAAAAAGAACAAACAAAAAACACTGGCTTTTTTATTGTGTATTACGGAATCTTATTTATTCACTTTAATTCTGCATTTACACAAAAATGCTATAATAAAATATCTGTACACTACTTCTGCTGCAAATATAGATAATATTTAAAATGACTTTATATATTCTAATGTAGGAGTTTCACGCTCTAAAATGGGAATGAACACATGATAATTTCTCACAAGTTGTCTCAATAAACAGCTCCATCTGTTTCCCTTAGTCTCAAACTATTGTATTATAAATGTTAATATAAGGCAATTAAATTAAGTTAGGCTAATCCCTGTAATTTATCAATTTACTAATGGCATACAACCAAAATAATTATTAACACATTGTTTAGATTAATATTAATTGAAAGATTAATATTAATTGAAAAACAATTGTACAGCATTTTAATACATTTTCAGGGTTGCATCAGTTGTTAAAATGAGCACTAAACGATCCTGGATCCTTCTATGTGGCCTCCATGATTAGCATGTCAATATTGGGTAACATCATCATTTTTCTTTTAGCAACACGAAAATACTTTGTAACAAGTCAAAAAATGAAAATGAGCATCAAATTATGCATTAAATATGATTTCTTTACAAAATTTAGGAACATTGTTTCATATATTTGCTATTTACTCAAGTAAAGAAAACAATTAGAGCAGGAAAAAGTGTATTAGAGGTGGGAAGATGCAATTTTTGTAATATTCAAGACTTTAAAATACTAAAAATATTTAAATTTTGAATCATATTTTTTAAGGTTTGGTGTAGGGAGAGGAGATGGATTGCCAAATTGAAACATTTTTATAAAACTTACCAAGATTTTCTTCTTTATTGTATATTTTTATTTTCCACCCTTATTCACTGAAACCATTTTTCTTGCTAGCTTTAGAATTATTTTTTTCTTTACTAACATGATTAGCATATAATAATTTTTTTTCATGTGACTGTAAGATATTGGATATCTTCAAAGGAAAAACTAGATATACTTATGTAAAAATTCCTTCTCTTTGAGTTTAGGTTTACAAGATGCAAGGGGAAAGGAAAAATGTTAGGCTATCAGTAAGAAAATCATTTCCAGATAAGAAAAACAAGCTTAAATGTTGTTTTTCCCCTACAGTTTTGAAGACCCCATGTACAAGTATAGGAAATGTCATCCATAAGACCAGTTCCATTGTCCTTACAGAGGGAGGTGAGTGACAGGCTGGGTTGGTTCAATTCTGGTAGCCAATTCAGGAGAGAACCATTAAGGTGACAGAGCCTTTTGTCCGCTTAAGGATGGCAACAGCTTCTTCATGGGTTACTCCTTCTAGACTCTGCCCATTAACAGCAATGATCTGATCACCCCTTTTTAGACGGCCATCTTCAGAGGCTGCTCCCTGAAATCATAAAGCAGACTTGTTTACTTCTGATTCCAGCAATTCTCTTCACTCCCAACCTCTGTCAAAAAAGAAAAGCCAAACAAGTAAACAAAAAGTATTGCTAATTCTATGTCTTTCTGTGGCTTTGAAAAGAAAGGCTGCTCAAGCTTTCTTGGCTCTTACTTCAAAAGATTAGAAGAAGTTTTCTTCCTTTTTTTGTTTTTTTTTAGGACTGGAGATCAAACCCAGGTCCTCACACATAAGCACTCTACCACTAAGCTACATCCCTAGACTGGATTCTTCATATTTCTATAGGCCCTAAATAATTAAGATTAAACACAGACATTGCTGTTTTAAGGCATGCTATGCAATTAAAAATAAGATTAGATATATGGAAAAGTTAATGAGGAGTTCTATCATGATCAAATTTTTAAAATATGTTCTAACTAGCATGCCTTAAATAAATTGTTCCTAGTCTGAGGAAAAGAAATGCATGATTTTTTTTTATCCATTGGCAAATGATATTTGCATTTTTATACATACCAATAGCTTTTTAAAAAATTTCATAAATTAAGCCGATAGCCAGCTGTAAGTATAGCACTTTAAATTGGTTGAAAATAGTAACATGTTTTCCCCAAAACAATAGAATGAAACTTCCATAAACTAAAGGACCATAATAGTAAAGTCCCTGTGTATCAAATCTTTTTTATTATATTTTACTATTATTTTCTGGCAATAATAGGGTTTGGAACTCAGGGCCTTACTTGAGCCACACTCCCAGTCCTTTTGGCTCTACACTATTTTATGTGGGCTGACTTTATTTCTAACAGTTCGCATGAACATATAACTATATCTGTAATAAAAAACTCAGATGTCATCAAGATAATTTTTTTCATAAATAACTCACATTAGAAGGACAATACATGTCCATTTTCCCAGTGATCTTTTTTTCTTTCTTTTTCTTTTTTATTGTTGTGCTGGGGGTACACTGTGGCACTTACCGGAGTTCTTATCAAATATATCCTACTTGAATTCACCCCCTCCATCATTCTCCTTTATCTCCCCCCTATCCCATTCCTGGAATAGTTTCAGCAGGTCTCATTTTTCCATTTACATACTTGTATACACAGTATTTGCACCATATTCACCCTCCTACAACCTTTCCCCACATCCTCCCCCCTCCCACTGGTACCAGCCCCCGAGATAGGACCTAAAGATAGGGTTTCATGCTTTTTTTCTCAAACCATGATCCTTCTATACATGCCTCCCATGTAGTTGGGGTTATAGGTGTGACCACCGAGTCCAGCGTGTTCTTTGAGATAGGATCTTGCTAATTATTTTTTCCCAGGCTAACCCTCAAATAGCAGTCCTTCTATCTTTACCTCCCAGGTAGCTGGGTTTATAGGTATGAGTCACCATTGCTGGCTTATGTTTTATTTTTGAGATAGGGTCTCATTTTGTAGCTCAGCTGGTCCTCTGCCTTCTCCTCCTCAGTGCTCAGATCATATACATGTGCTACCATGCCTGTCTTTGAAATCTCTGAACGGGCTTGGCATAAATTCTGTTTCTTTATACAATAAACTTTTGAGATTCTAGGTTTTCTTCTGCAGGGAATATTGTTCAATTTTGTAGCTCCTGAAAATATATCTCAGTAGCATAACAGGAATCATTATATGGGTTTAGATTATTTTTATTAGCTTTGTCAATGTTACAATATCTTTATTCTTATTCTAAACATTCTTAAGATAGAATTGGTTATTATATGATTATAACTATATACACTATCAAACCCTTTGATTGCAAGTAGCTGATAGGGCTGCTGGACACTCCTGATTTTAATTTTTTAGTATTTTTTTCTATTTTAATCAATGAAATTAAACATGTAAAATAAATGTTCCTTAGTTAATTTGCATATGCATTTTAAGTACTTCTGAACCTATTTTGCATTTCACATCAACAAAAAAAATGCAAAGAAAACATGCCATTTCTCTACAGCATATATATTTGAAAGGTTCCATTTTCAAAAAGCAATCACATTCAACTTATCTTCAAAGTAAAAGAATAGGCCTTACTACCTTAAGATCATTATTATTTTTATGGATATTTTTGAATTTCCATGGAGTTTCAATTTCAGTCTACTTTCCTTTAAAAATAACTGAACTCCAAATTTGACAAAAAATATTTAATGACCTATTCCTGAAGGGAGTTTAGAAAGAAAATGATCAACTGGTAAGCATTTGGCATTACCTCAGGCCATAAACTAATAAGCCAGCTGTTGACCACTGTTAATGAATGTTTAGCAGGGAAGAGAATGGTTAAAATTTGCGAGCTCACCTTTACAAACACTGTTTTCACATAAATGGGCAAGTCTCCATGAGCACTGCCATACCCTCCTACTATACTGAAGCCCAAGCCATCTGGTCCTCGGTCTAGGGTGATAGACTTACACTGCGGAGGTCTACAGAAAAGGAAGGAGAAAGGAGGTTTGGAATTTAGATGTATATATTATATATACATACATATATTTGAATCTGTAAGTTATACATTATCTGACATCTACCTAGAGCTAGCATACTTCTCTATACTACTGCCAGGAAGTATATTATTGGTATTTTGGGGATGCTTAAATTGTCAATGCATGCTGTGTTCAGTATTTGAAATTTACATAATCTAATAAAATCCTACTTAGCACCCTAATTCTATTACTCATCTACAGTTGCCTTAAACTAACATTCATGGCATGTTCTCATGGCACAGAGAACCTCATTCTTTTTCTAGTTTATTTAAAGTGAGAGGGCTGAAGTTCAGGGGGCTATCATGAAGTAAGTCGTAAATGTCACAACTCCCAGCTCAGAGAGAAAATCGATTACAAGCATTGTAAAAGCTACATCAAATTATTTCAAAATTCTAATGTGGCACTCTTTACTCGTCCTATTTTCTAATGCTTTTGTATCCAATGTTATTATCCAATCCAGTGGCTTTTTTAATCAAAAAGACATTAAATGAGTAGGCAGCAATAGAAAAATTTAAAAGATAAATGTAATTCATTCCATGTCATGCATGGTGTGGACAGCAGAGTAAAATGTTCCTTCCAAAAATCAGAGATGGATACATAGCTATCTGTCTTTATTTGTTGATTTTACTTTTATTAGCTAAACCCATGCCAGTTATTTGACAGTGCTAGAAATATAGTACAGAGAGTTCAACTTCCAGGAAGACTTGATCTGCAAGCAACAAATGATATACCAACTATAATACATGAGCTCACCCTAAATCATCCTGAAAAATACTGCTTGACGTCAGCCCAGTGAAAGAAAGACTAGAATTGACAGGCTCCTGCTGATGACCTGTGACCACACTCACATCTCCTCCAGCAACCACCTGTGCACAGGGGAAGTGTAGAAAGAAAAACACATGTTCATGTTGCTAGGGAGACACCAGTCATTTTTCTTCAAAAAGAACATTTGGATTAAGATGTGCATTTTATTGTCCACTTAATCATAGACATGATTAAAACACAACCAAAAAGAAAGAAATTTCACAAGGTACAGAGGCCTCTTAATTGTTCAGATAGTAAAAATAATATAATTCAATTCCACAGTGTTCTTTGATACTTTTAAAACATGGTCTCATGAACAATTATTTTTTAAAGATCTTTAGAATATAAGCCACTCACTCACACTACTTAGCAATTAATCATTTATTGCTAAGGCCCTATGTTTTTCCCCTTAGCTATAAAGAATGAAACAATGAATGCATTAGGATAACATGTTACACAGGGTGTCTCATACATATTTTCTTAGAGCTATCAATTTAATCATTTATGTATAAGGGATAGATTAAATAAAATAATAGCAGGAGATTTAATAATTTTTACTGCTTCAAAATTGAAAGCTCCTGTGTCCTCAAGCTATCTATATTCTGAATAGTGCTTGGGATAAAAACCTTACCTGCATTTCAATGGAGCCAGAGGCATTTTTCAGTAAATTAACTGCTTGAGTGTGTGTCATCCCCTCAGTGGATGTGCCACAGATAGTGACAATCCTATCCCCAACCTGCAAAGGAGAGAAAGAAATAACCATCTGCTAAAGCAAAGTGGGACTCTGAGAGCAGCATGGTCTCCTCTGTCATCCACATCACATGGATACTGCCACCAGCCACTGAAATAAACCAAGGAAAATTCAAAGAACCATCACAAAAAGAAGTGGTGAGAGTGATTTCTACGCAGACTCTTTTTCTTTTTCAGGGGTGGTACTGGGATTTGAACTTAGGGACTCAGGACTTTGTATGTGCTAGGCAGGCACTTTACCACTTGAGCCATGCCTCTAGCGGCACAGTGATTTCTACATAGCTCTGGGAGTGGGGAAGGAAAAAAATCATTCTTCCCTTTTAATCATTTCTCCTGGGTAAGATATTACTTCCTATTAAAATAATAAAATATCAGTATCGTGTAAAACAGAACTTCCCTGGGCACTGTCACTAGAGTTATTAGATGTGGCCCTAACTCAGGAGTTGGCAAACCAAGCCCCATAGGCAAAATCTGGCCTAATGCCTACTTGGGTTAATAAAACTTGGTTGGAAGACAGCCGTGTTCATCTGGCTGTTTCAGAGGGCAGAGTGGAGAGGTTGCAACAGAGATTCCTATGTCCCAAAGAGCCTAAAATACTATCTGTCCTTCAGAAAAGTTTGCTAACCACTGTGGTATGTGTTCAATCAGGTTTTAAGTGTCAGCCATATGTTTAGAAATCATAAGAGGCTGAATCACTCTCAACCTAGAAACTATTTAAATTAATATGAGCTTTTGTTTAAAGTATGAGACCACAGAGATTTTGCTTCACAGAGACTGAGTTTCCTTAAAACAACAGTCGTGTGATTTCACAGCTGGGCAGTTAGCCTAGGTTCCATCATAGGGATCTATATTTGGATAATCCCTTGAAGCACATTTTGTATAGTTTTATAATATTGCAAGTCACATTTACATTAAATTTTTGCAGAATTTATAATCAAATACATATAAATGATATTTTTCAATATAATAAGGTTAAACCAATATTTAAACCAATGAAACACGTAAGGGAAAAGTTTCACTTCATACTGGTGTTCAGAAAATACTTGGCTTTCTTTTAAATTGTTCCACAGAATGTTAAACGTGTAATAAAAATATATAGAGATGACTATAAATCTTCCCATTTCATTTACTTGCAAATTTGCATTAGACAACATCGTTGCTCTTATCCTCTAATTTTTCTTACTCTTTTATTCAAATCAAGCCCTACTATGGCTTGATTAGTTGACTTAAAAGCAAATACAAACATTTAAAACAGTCTTGCTATAGGTGACCAGATTTAAAGGGTTTGTTGAAAAAAAAAAAGTTTGGTATATTGTTTATTGTTTGGGCTACTATAGTTATTAGTAAAACTTACTCTGAGTTTCTGGGTCTGAGCTGCAACACCATTTGGGTGCATCATTGCAATAAATATTGGAACATCCCCAAGTGGGCTGCCCACTCCTCCAGCAATGCTGATTCCCAGTGAGTCAGTAGGCCCCTGCCACAGAACAGATACATTTTGGTCATTTAATTGACTTTTTGTTTATACTATCATCAACTCTGATCTTTTAGGTGTGAAAATGTAGCTCAAAAAAACTATTACTTTATTTGACATAGATCTGTAGTATGGTTTAAGAAAATGAGCACGTGTTTAGGAAATAAAAGCAATTAAGACACACTAAAAGGAAATCCTATTGTAGGACTGATGAGAAAGAGGTAAATTCACAAAGTGAAAAAAATACAATTTGAGAATTAAAGAGGTCTGTGTTCAAAGCCAGGAACCCATGCTTTCAAACCTTGTGACCTAGAATGAGTCCTCCCAATCAACCAGTGGATCTTCATTTATAAAATGGACGTAACAGTGCCTGTCACAAAAGGCTGCAGTCATTACTAAGTACACATGACATAAAGTTTCTACCAGAATGTTCAGCACATGGTAAAGGCTCAATAAGCCATAGCTTCTTTACTTTCTTCTCTTATGCATGGCTGCAGGGAATTCTGTTTCAGAAGAACTGGAAGCATCTGCTGAAGAGAATGGCTTACTGACTGACTGATGTAAGTGAGAGGCAGGGAACTGTGTAGTGTGGGGTCAGGGTGATGTCATTTTTATAGTACAGAACATATAAGCAGTGATTTTTCAAATGCAGTATCATAATTACGAAATCAACAAAGACTGCATTGTACTATTTCTACCATATACAATATACACATTCTTTTTTTCAGATGGGAACTTTAAAGCAGTAAAATACTTAATAGGAAAATACAAATGAAGATGCTTCAGAAGACACCAAGTACCTTTTTTATTTCAACTGTTCTTAATCCCTGTATTTCAGATGCAACTGTAAAGGCAAAAAAAAAAAAAGAAAGAAAGAAAGAAAGAGAAAAACATGGTTATTAAATCATCTTTTTGCTCATTTTAATTCTAGCCAGTAGATGGAGGTGGATGGGATTAAATGGGCTATCTTATTTTTGTTTTTCTGAAAGGCAGTACTCAGTTACTAGCACTACACAAGATTAGAGCTGTCTCACATATGAATTCTTTATTTCTCTAGTTGAAAAATGTACATACCATCCCATTTCTTCCTCTCATTTTAAGCATTGATTATATAACTGTATAATCCACTTTAAATGAGTCAAGGACAGAATGTGCTTTGAATAAAAAGATGCATACACAGCTGAGAGGAATAGTCACACATGCATTAAAAAGCTCCATGGACTTAAGTGCCTAAATTTCTAGAATATTAGCCACATTGCAAACACAGTTTGCCATATGGTCAGTTTCTTCAATTTGAACAACTCTCAACCAATGCACCAAGCCAAAAACCCCTCTACATCATGATTTCATGTAATTAAAACACAGGAGGATCATATTAATGTTCTCAAAATTTTTGCAATTTTCATGGAAGTAGGTAGCTTCACTTAATGGCATTTTTCTGATTTTTTTGGAGTTACATTAAACAGAGAAAGGAAACAGAATCAAATATGCCAATCTGCTTTGGTAAGAAAAAAAAATTACAGAATCCTGATCATAATGTTTCATATATCTTGCAGGATAAACATCAAATGGGAAAAGCTGCCCAAAGGCACAACTTCATGTTATTCAGATTTTTGGCCAATATATTTTTGTACACATACTTAAGAGTATGGGATAATTTTGGGGTGGGGAAGAACTCAGAGGTAAACAATAAAAAAAGCCAGTATTAACAGTCAAAATTCATACTGGTAAATCATGCTTAAAATATTGAACCAAACTTACGTGCATTCTTCTTTGAGCTACTTTCCAACAACTCAGATGTACTTATTCCAGAGAGTGGAAGAGTAAAAGATGACAGGCTGCCTTCACTCACCTATAAATACGCAACAATTACTTTAGAAATTTCTAGGAATTCCCCTGAAATACCAGTTAGGGTATACCTGCTAAATACCACTTATTTCAGAATTCAATCCTTTTATTGCATCTAGAGAGGAATAATATTATGCAAAAGTAGCAATGGATAATTTGAAGGGTAATTTAAACACAGGTTCTATATACTTTTCTTTTTAAGGAACAATTTGCTTACTTACATAATCAAATTGAAGCTAAAAGAGTAAAGGAATGTAGCATCAATCTACCTACAATTTTAGTGGATTTTTATAATTTCATTCAGGCTTTCTTTCTAAATTTGAACAAATGATGGAAAAAGACTAGGACTTAAAGAACTGTAGAATTAGGGCCAGTTCGTAGGAAACTAATGGTGGTAATTAAGGAAGTGAGTAAACAGTCTTTAAGGATCAACTCATGAAACAGGCTTCTGTCATGAGAAGGCAGGGTTGAGGACAGGGGTTTTCCAAGACTTGAATTATTTTAACATCATGTTTTATACATATTTTAAACACTCACCTATATGAGATTTTTCAGCTGAATACTTTTTATATCTTAAAATGTATTATTTTGATAGGCTTTACACCTAGTAGTTGGTTAACTTTTAAGACTCTAGAAAAAAGAAGAATGTGTAAAACCAAGTTCCTGAGAATGGTTTAAATGACTCGAGCGTTATACCTTATCTACCTGCATGCTCATCTCTTGTTCTTCCCTAACTCAAAGTGTGCCCTCAGTCACATGCTGCCAGGGGGCAGACCTGTGTCCATGCCTCCAGAAGGACCCTGCATAAAGCTGTCTTTACTCTCTTCTACTAGACACCTGAACTGGTCACCCTGATGAATTTCACAACTACCTACCTGGCTGCTTTGAGAAGGCCTCCTCTCTGAATGGAATGGGCCAGCTTTGATTCTTCCAACTTCCAGGGTTACTGTGCCTAGGGAGCACTGGGGAAATAGTTGTTTTATAAAACTTGTTAAGTAAAATTCTATAGTCATCTTTAGGAAAACATAGTGTACTTTCAAGACTGAGATTTGAAAGACATCTTCCTTTTATGATTTCCACAGGCAAGGACACCTCTACGCTTTTGAGAGAAATGTCTTTGTAAAAATATTAGAACTAATAAAAGTAATAACAAACAGTAACAGCAACACTGTCTGTATCATTACTTCATAATTTATATGGAGACTTTTTCTACCAAGGCAAAGAGAAAGTGAGAATTGTGCAATTTCACATAAAACATACAAACTTAGTCTGAATTAACTGAATAACTCAGGGTTTAAAAAAGAAACAAAACAATAGAACCATCACAAATTTGTTTTGCTCTTAATAGGAGAGGTACTCTGCTAACTGTGTAAAGTCTCTGTTGTCATAATATAGCTGACTAGCCCCATTGCACAATACTTAAATAAAGATTGCTATAAATGCAAAGTAAGAATTAAAGACAATTTCACTGTAGTCCTTTAAAAATAAGCAATAGGTATGCAAGAAATGCTTGCAGTCTAATACTGAAAATAGCATGAGTTTGGTGCTTGAGATCCTGGAATTTTTGGAGTTAGACAAACACTGACTTAAATTGAGGTTGTGATTTACTAGCTGGGTGATCATATGGATGTCTGACCTTGATATATCTGCTATTCTGCATTTTAAAAATGTAAGCATTACAGATTGCTGTTAAAAGTAATCCAGGTACAGTGCTTATGACAGTGTCTAGGGCAAAGTAGTATTAATATAAACACTGGACTTTGACATTATTACGCTGCATCTGAGCAGGTACAAGGGAACTGTGCTCTTCAACAGGTTGGCCATGGAACAAACTTTGAAAGGTCAAAACATGGCCTGTAATCTGATTTTGTTTGTATTGTTGGGCCCAGGCTTTGTAGCCCAAAACTCAACACACCCTTTTTGGACCTGTTTATGTTTTTGGCTTGTATAACTACAGAGGCTCTCAAGCCCCTACATTAATTATTCACTATGAAATGTCGTAATGTTATAATTCTTTCCTCTCTCTATAACACATTTTTCTAAGTTCAGGGTTTTTATTATGATAAGCAATTAAAGTAATTTTTCCATGATAAAAGCAGTTCCTTCTAATCAAAGAAATATTTGAAAATAAAATGAAAAAAGGAAGAGGGGGAAATGCAGGGTATTTGTAACAACTGCCTTATAATTACTGTGACAAAGCTTCGAAGATTTTATTTCACATAGTGATATTGACATAGTAAATGAATTTTTTTCTTATCTTCTCTGCTGATTATATATCTTTTCATGTTAATATAATTGTCATGAACATCATTTTAAACAGACATATCTGTCATAACACTTTGGAATATAATTGACAAATGCAGAGTTTGTTAAACATGTTGCTGCCAATTTACCTATTATTACAAATATCACTTAAAGTTTATGTGTACACATTTTGTATATTAAGAATTAGTTACACAAAATTTTTAAATGAATTACTAAGTCAAAACAACAACATTAACAAGCAGCAGCAAAACCAAACATGTAACTTATATAACTATTTAAGGCATTGATTATCTATTGCTAAACTGGTTTCAAAACTGAATGGTTTAAATGATTTCAAAACCATATTGTTTTAGGAATACTTCCTTCCCTCTTTCTTTAAGATATGTCAATCTTACAGAGTTAACTTTTTTTCTGGCAGACCCTGGGGTTTGATCAGGGCTTTAGCACTTGTAAAGCAGGTATTTTACCACTTCAATTACACCCTCAGTCCATTTTACTCTGGCTATTTGCATGGGTCTCACAAACTATTTGCCTTGGCTGGCCTCAAACCTTGATCCTCCTGATCTCAGACTCCCAAGTACCTAAGATTACAGGTGCCAGGCAATACTTGTTTTTAATTTATATCTGAGAGGAAGCTATTGTTCCTTAAAGAATTCTGATTACCTTGTTTTGATGACTGACAACTCTAAGAAATAAGAGATTTTAAGATATGCTTTTGTTGATAACTAAATCCATGAAGCCCAGCACTGAGAGGCTCCCACTAGTATTGGACCCTTGTCGGCTTGACTCCTGCTACACAGCCATCTGTGGTCTCACATTTACACACAACCAGGACAGGGACACTGATTGAGGATGAGAATTTTCTAGTCAATGTTGAAACACATTAGGTAAGAGAAAACAATTAGATAAGCATTGCCTTATTTATTTATAGGGATACAAATTCTCTCTAGAAACTGGAATATTCCCTAACAAGGTATATGTCTATAGTACTAAGAAGTGACTATTTTGTACATTACAACTTTTTTTTTTAAAAAAAGAGACAGGTTCTGCCTTCCAATCAGAAAACTATCCTTCATAGATAAGTTTGAAATTTTCTTTTGAAGAAATCTGTAAAAGTGTTTAAGCTTAGAATGGTCCCTAAGGGTGGAGACCTTACAACTGCTAGAATAATTACAGTGAAGGTACTGCCAAGTGAATCTGCTTTAAGTTCACCTCACTGTGTAAGACTGACCCACCCAATATGAACTTAAAGGATAATCTGCAGACATGCTGTGGGGACCTTTCTCTCCACATGGAGCAGATGTGCCAAGTCACTTTCCTCAGGGTGCCCATCCCCAAGATAATAATCTTCATTTAAACTGAGGTCGCAGTAATAAATCCTGAAATAAACATGGAAGAGTGGAAGCTGAGACTTTTGTGGTCTAAATACGTGTTTTTCTTTCAAGGAAAGGTACATACAATACTCACCTTAAAGATAAAAGATTTGTTAACATTTTGGACACTCGGTTCATAATTCCTACTGCCCATAATTAACTATGTAACAACAGATAGCAGCTAATCCTAAGTACCCTATTAGAAATCTGTCACTGAAATATGCTATTGTACATATAAATGTACTTCATTTGAGATGACATATTAAATAGAGAGAAATGGCAGTTAAATGTTAAATTCTTTCTTCTTCCATACTATTACTTTTTTCTTCAGTACTGGGGATTGAACCCAGGGTCTCATGCATGCTAGTGCTCTACCACTTGAGGCAAGCCTCAGTACAAACTTTCTTTTTGGCATCTGATTTTCACCTTTAGCAAAGCAGCAACTGCTTCCTGGGTGGCATTACGGACATCTTCTCCATTCACCATTAATATCTGGTCTCCCTGCATTAGTCTCCCATCAGCATCTGCAATTCCTCCTTTGACGATGTCTGATACAAATACTCCAGTATCATTTCTGAAACAATTTTAAATTTCAATATTATTAGTTTCCCTCAACTTTAGTGCAATGCTTTTTTTTTTCCTTTATAGTTGTACTGGGTGGGGGTACATTGTAACATTAACAAAGGTTCTTACAATGTATCAAATATATCATACTTGAATTTGATAAAAAGCTAATATTTTTAAATGAAAAAATCGTCTACTTTAAAACATCTTATTGATCTGAGCAATGCTTGGGCAACGTTAGTAGAGTATGTTTTGGAACAAGTGATAGCTTATGTCTTAAGACTTCACAGATTAAAAAGACTGTTCATAGGAATATTTATTCTTCATCAGTTACATACTATGAACAGAAGTGGGTGATATGAGTAGAAGTGGATGCTATTATTATTTTATAGGCCACACATCTAGTAAATGGCAAAAATGGAATTTAAGAGTGATTCTCTGGGTGCTTAATCTATTATTCTTTCTACACCATCATAAAGTCTTAAATGGATATTGACCTATGGCTATGCAAATATGCTGCTCTATCACTAACACCATTAACATTATTGAAAATAAGTAACATACATGTATCTTAAACCAAAAGCACTTATTACTCAAAACTACCATGACTGTGGTGTTTTTATTTTAAGTCATTACAGCTAACTCTCATGTGAGAGATTTATCTAAAATGAGCAAATGTTAATCTTAATCTAATCCTTCCAAAAAACTAAAAACAAATAAAAGCCTCAAACTTCCTATAAAGATACAAAAGTAACTGTAAATAGAAGTATATAGTGAAAACTAAATGTTATCATTTCTTCTTGCCAATGGCCATCAAACAAGCCATTATACCACCTGTTCCTGGGCTTTTCTATTTTTGAAATAAGAGTATTAGATCAGATAGTCTTTGTATGCTCTTCTCAAGACAAAAGATTTATTATTACAAGTTTTTATAGTATCCTGGTGACCCACATGTTGTGGCAGCTTGGTATCCCAACATGTGTATCATATTTCATGGGAACTAGACTATTGATACTGTATTCTAAAAAGAAGTGCCTACGTTTTCAGACACATTCCCACTGGGATTCAAATAATATGCTACATTATTTCTGAGCATTAAAAAAAAAGTTAGTCTTTAATTGTCTCTGAACAAAATAAAGGTCTATAAAAGTCCCTTTATTCTCATACAGAAATACTGCTGCAGAACCAGGTGAGCATGTGCTGTTTTTGCCATGCTGAAGTGTCTATTTCCAAAGGGTACTAGGACACAAAGGTTACAATTTCACAGATTTTTTTATTCACTGGAAAAATAAACTGCTTTGAAATTGTGGGTATCTGAAGAGTAAAAAATATTGCTTATTAACTTAGGACCACTGGCAAAACAGAGTTGTTTTTTACTGAATGCTGACTTCATTTGTTTAGTTATCTTGTATATTATGATCATCCTAGGCTTATAATACTAAAAAGATGAAAGATTTATGGAATTTAATTTTTGTTACTACTACTTACATATAAATATCCCTAAATATATACAAATATTTAAATAAATTAGGTACTGAATTTATATACATGCTCTAATTATACCTCACCCCCCTGCTTTATGCTTCTGGTCCCTTGTTGATGGCACATTCTTGGTCATGCTAACCCTTCTCCCTAGACTATCCTCCATCTCCGTTAATAGAACAACTATCATTTATTCCTTTTAGCCTCAACTCAGGCACCTCTTTTCTTGGAAATTTTCCTAATACAGTTCTTTTAAATAGGATCACTTGGTCTCTTTCTCCATTGCTTTTGTGGCTTCCCCACAATGTGTTTCTGTCATTCATCAATACATTAATTTGTTGCAAAAATATATTTAATTCTCATACATCAGACTGAGTTTTTTGAGGTCAGGTACCATTTAATATTTAACTCTGTTACTCAGAAACCAATGTGTTTTTGCACACAGCAGGCCCTTAAAAATTACGAAATAGCTTTTTGTTGAGTATCTTCAAAATCTCCTAATACACTGATTGAAAAAGTTCAAGAACAGTGTCTTCCGAAGCCCCCTCAGTGAGTGGGCCAATGGCAGCTACCTGTAGAACACAAACCATTTATAAAGACTCTATTACTGCCACAATCATTTCCAAAAGACACTGTATTTGTCTTCCCCAGTCACACCTTTTACCAACAATACTTAATCCCAGGCCTTTTCCTGGCTTCTTCTGCAGTTCAATGGTGAGGGCATCACACACATCCTCCTCTTTGTAAGGTGCCTCGTCTCGGTAGAGTGTCAGTCGCACTCTTTGTGGTGTCTGTCTCAGAACATTGATTGCTTCATCATGAGTGGCTTTTCTCAAGTCAATTCCATTCACCTGTACAAAAATGGGACACGGATGGTGAATTAGGTTAGGTACTTGAAAAAAAAAAAAGAAAGGTAGAAGGAGGGAGAAAGGAGAGAGAGAAAGAAGCAAAGAAAGAAGCACACCTTCCTATTACTTTTCCGTTATTTTTGAAGGGCAAAAATAAGCATCTGTACCTCTAAAATCTGGTCTCCAGCCCAGAGTCTTCCATCTTTACATGCTGCTCCTTCTTCATAAACCTCATGGATAATAATGGCACCCTAAGGGCCCAAACACAACATAGGCATGGTGAGAAGAAAGGAGTCCAAGCATACTGAACATTCATAGACAGTCAAGCAGTCAAGAGTTATACACGTGTGGGTCGATATATGAGCTGCATATCATAATTTAAGGAAATATATAACAATACAATTTTTGCTGCAAGGCTCAAAAAAGTTTCTATTTTTTCATGATACAGAGGTTGAATGAAAATGTCATAAAATTTATAAGTGATATATATATATATTAATATAATAGAGATGTATCACTCTTCCGATCCACAAAAAAATGATTTTTAAAGTATTTTCTCTTCAGGTCATATAAATCTTTTGCCTTTTACTAAAGTAATTTTGACAGTTAGAAAATCCTGTCTAAAAAGTATCCAATTTTTCAACCTAGATATTAGCAAAATGGGAATCAAAATATGGCAAGGACTGATGAAATGATAGAAACATTTAAAAAAACCTAAAATTCACATCCACAAATGTAATAGAATCTTTCTGAGTCAGTATGGCTTATTTGAATTAATAATCCCATAATTATATTGAATTATAATCCCATAATGGCATTATATAGCTGAATACTTGCCATATAAATTAAGACACATTTTTGTCATCCCATTGTATTTCATTTAGCAAAACTGACAGAAATCTCCCATCATGGTCTCTCAAGACCTTCTGAAGGCTGCCCACATGGCTGCAGCACATCTGGTGGGTACTCACCAGCAGCGTGTCAGATCCCCCAACAATGCTCAGGCCTAGTCCCGTTCGCCCTTTGGAAATCTCAATTGTTGTTTCACAGCCAGGGATAATGGGGCAGGTTGCAGGATCAGAAGCAAAGATCGCTGGTGTGGATGATCTGCTTGAACCTAAAAATAAATTTATTATGAAATGACATACAAATAAAAACTGATTAAGTGGCATATATGTCAAATTCACCACACAGGTTGCCTTTGATGGACAGAGTGGGTAACAGAATAAAGAAGACTTCAAATTTGCCTTAAATCTTTTAGTTATTATTTATTTTAAAATATCAAAGAAATATGACTAAATTAAATCAGGTATCAGTTAGTGGGCACAAATTACTTGTTTAATTATTTTACTATGGTATTCCATACTTTTCAAATTTCTAGAGATAAAAGACAGGACATGAAGGAAGAACAGAGAGTTGGACCGAACCTCTAGTTTCAATGTGATGGTTACATTTCACTGGAGCCAAACACACTTTTTATGAAATAAACATTTGTAAGTCTCAGAACAGACATATGTTGCAGACTTAGAAGCACATTCAAGGAAAACCACACAACACAAAGCATATGATTGATTTTGGTCCTGGTGCCTACTTTGCAGAGCTTTTTTATGTTTTTCTTTTCACTTTCTTCTTATCTTCAAACATCAATTCTTACATAATCAATCCTGAGCATAAATTCATACACACACACACACACACACACACACACACACACACACACACACACAAAGCATTTTAAGTTTGTCTCCATGGATCTCACTTGATGTTTTTTATATTCTGATATTAATTGTTGATACATATAGCTCAGAATTGAATACAGAAGAAAAGATTATGGAAAAAGAAGAATATAATCCCACACCTTGTTTTATAAGTCTTCATATAATATCATATGTTTTATGATACAACAAAAAGCACACAGTAATAGCATGTTTTGGGAAAGCTAGGACACTTGTAGAGCAGCGTATGCTGTAGACAAGATGTTCTCTTTTTAGGAAATCAGAAACAGACTATTTTCTTGCTCCTGAAATGGTAAGAACAGGTGCATGGTATGTTCTTTTATGTTAAGCTTTCACTTAACATTTCCTTTTTTATAGACAATGCTATTTAGAGACCAACATAAAAGTTGAAAAATGAGAATATTTCCATAAAATCTTTTAACTTCAGCAAATCATCCAGTCTTTTTAAATAGAGGGTTACTTTCATCAGAGATGTATTAAGACTTTTTGTACAACTATGAATGTTTTAAAATAGTGTTTCCTTAAAAACCTGTCAAAAGAAATGGAATGTTTCAATTATTGGTCAGGGGAGACCATCCACCCTCTGCTGCAGAAAACCCAAAGTGTTTAAATCATTTTTTAAAAAACCGAAGCTGCAGAGCTTAGAATTTACCATTTTATTATACACTAGTGTAATTTTTCTAAAAAGTAACTAAAAGAATAATTTGCCTTCATATAATAAAGCACTGTCTCATAGTCCACATACATCTATTTCATGTAGTTTGATATAAATTCTAATAAACCTCAGCTTCAGAACTCATGTCTACTATGCATGTGGAAATGACTAGCATTTTTAAGATTTTTGGAGTCACAGGCAGTGCTGTGAAATAGTACCATTGTATCCATTCGATAAATGCAGAGGCATGGAGAAACTACTTTCTGATTATAAAAAGAGGATCTATAAACTGATATTTCTGATTCATTAGTTACATATCTGGAATCACAGGTACCCTTAGTAAGGGAATCCTGGAGAGCAAAGACCAGTCTCTTGTAGAGAGGAAGATGAGGCTGCAGTGGGAGGGTGGTTTTCCAAAGGCACCATGGATGGTTAATGCACAGCACACAGATCTGCTATCTGTGGGTCCAGGATACTTTCTTCAGGAGCCCCTTCCTTTAAACCCCCTCTCACCAAAGGGCTCCCTGACTAAGCCCTTTCACACTCGGCCACAAGCAGGCATTTGGCTCCCAAGGAAGGACACTGCTGAGCATGACATGTGTGCAGGACTCGCATGAGTGGCCCTTACTTCGCATTGGCTCTGGTTCCAGTTCAGGGACACCAGACTGTGGGACTGTGGGAGACTGCAGGCTGCTCTGTTCTTCTCCAGTGGCTGCATCAGCTGCTGAAGGAATGGTCTGGGAATCTGGATTCTCAGCACAAATGGTCAGTCTTACTGTTGTCTTTGCTGTTTTCAGAAGGCTAATAAACTGGCAAATAAACACAAATTAGTGTGTGGGGGGGTGGCCCAAACAATGCATATATATGTGACTAAATGAAAAACGGTAAATAAAAGAACCCCACAAATTAGAAGACTTATACAAATACAAATCATCAGTATTGCTGGAATCTAATTCTATCCATCATTGAGAGAAGAGACAGAGGCAAATGGTAGCCAAAGAAATGGCTCCAGTTTTTCTCTGCTTTCTCCAAATGCCCAATATAGTCAAAGCCATGGTTAATTTCTACTCTAATTCTAGTTCTGATCAAATTCTTCCTTATGTAGGTCCAAGGCTTTCAACTTTTTACATTTCTAGTTACTCTTGTGCATTTATATGAATCTTAGAAGACACATGGGGCATTTTACCTAATTTCTGATTCTTCAGAGAAACAGAAATTCTGATTCAACTGAATCTGAAGCAATTTACACACTTTTAATAAAACAAACACATAGAAATGCAAGATAGGAAAACTATGTAATAGAAAAATAAAGGCAAATGGAAAGTAAAAACAGATTTATGAACTAAAGAATCCAAACTATTCTGTTAATAAAATTGAGTTTTTAAAAAATGGCTTAAAGCTTCTTGCTAGACAACGTAAAAGTGGAAACATGGTCACTTAAAGTGTAGAGGAGAAAAAGAACACCACATCTCAGGGAAAACAAAACTTCCTTTCTAGCACACATACATGAACGGTATCAAGTGAGACTTAACTAAGTATTACCAATTTTGAGGCAAAAACTCAGGTACAAAGAATTGTTCTGCACCATAAACATTAGGCAATTAATGGCTGAGACTTAAAATCTGTTTATAAAGCAATATGAACAGCAATATTTGTGGGAATAAACATTTGTAAGGAAAAACACTGCTTTGGTCCTAACATGAAGTAAGCCATTGTTTAGGAGTTCCAAAGTCTTTTCCTAAGGGAAAAAAATCGAAGCAATATTTATCAAAAATGACCAGCAAATACTGAAAAATTTACTAGCAATAGTCAATATCTTAATATCACTTTAGTTTGAAAATAGAACAAATGAAAAAAAATCGACCTCTTCTGAATAATCTCTTCTTTTTCTTAAGAATACATCTACTATAGACCCAGCCCTAACTCCTTATGCCCCTTGCCACACACAAATACATACTGAGCCAGGCCCAAGGATGAGTTGACAGAATCATTTACTTTATTGTGGCAAAGTACCTTTTCAACAGGATAGCCAGCAACAATCTCATCATCTACAGCTAGGATCTGATCTCCAATTTTGAGTCGTCCATCCTAAATGGAAATGTGGAAGATTTTCAGTGATTTTCCAGAAAAAATTCCCTCTTCCATCATTTTCTGACAGTGAGAAAGGTACAGCTCACCTTGGCTGCCACCCCATGCTCTGTTAGACTCTTTATGATGACTCCACTGAGCGTATCTTCTTCACTGATAGCAATCCCCAAACCCCCTTGGTCCTAGAGAAGTAAAACCAAGAACAACCAGAAAACTTAAAATAGACTGATTGTATCCAAATGGAAAAATATGTAGCTACAATGTTTGAACATAATCTTTTACACAAAGGCAATTAGAATTCTAAAGTTCATTATTAGAAATTTCTTCTTTTCTTAAGCAAATTTCCAAATTTTTATAATGGAGAAGATTTTCCTCTATCAAAGAGTCAAGTGATTTCATTCCCCTACCCCTAAAGTCTGACATCTTTAAGACGTAACTTTTACACAATATCCAAATAGCAAAAATGCATTTAATAATTCAATGAAAACACCCAACACTTCAAGTTTACTTTGTGTAACTGGCTGACTGAATAAATCATTCAAAGGTAAGTAAAATAGTTTGTCTCCTCTCTGTCTCTGGCCTAAAGCTGAGAAATAACAACTGTATCTGGTTCCTTCATTCTTTTCCACCATCTTCTTCCTTTAGAAAGCAGATGCTTTACTACTGCATGCTCTGTCCTTTCTGGAGCTGCAAACAAAGAGTGTTTCCCCAGAGAAGTTTGCTTTGCTGCAGTGAAAATGCCTGTGATCCCTAAGACATGCCCTGAAAATCTGCCAAGATTGGAGAGCTACACCTACTTGATCTATATTTTCCACATTTAAAAAAATCAAAACCAAATGTTCAATAATAATGGCTTCGACCTTTCTTTAATGTTACCTTTAATAAAATTAAAATGGAGTTTTGAATTTTTGCTTTGGCCAGAGCTAGTAACTTTTTGGATTATAGTTTTCATCTATGAAAAATTTTTAAAGAGTGAAATAGAGAAGAGGGAAACACAGAGGAGCCACACTTGCCATTAGAGAAATTTATGGCATGACTACATCATCAAGGTAAGGTTTGTTTCACCATCACTTTAAAGATGATCAACACTGCAGATGTTTAATGTCTGATGAATTTCAAACTGTCAGGGACATTTCTCTATCATCTCCCTCCAGGTGATCAGAGAAAATTGCACTGGTTTCTGGCCTACCTTCAACCTAGCTGTTGAAAGTTAGATATGCCACTTGATATATCCAACAGTCGCTGACCTAAAAAGAAAAATCTAAATTTTCTTATCCTAAAAAAATAGAAAGAAATATAAATAGAATACTAATACCTGCCACTTAATCAGAAAAGCACTTTAATAAAATAGTAGGAACGTGCTGATTTTTCTAAAACTATCACCCATTCTGATCTTAACCTTTTGTAAAATCTAGTGAATTTTCATTAGAATATCACCATGCCACTCTTAGCAACTGTCTCCCCAGTGTCTTTCTTCCCTCTTTTCCTTAACCCCATCCTTTGTTTCCCTACTACCTTTCTCCTTCTGCATGTTTCAGTATGATTTCACTAGACTTTAAAATATGAGCAGAAATTCTTTCATATTCCTCCCTTCAAGAGTATGAGCCTATGAGTATGGGCTGTACATTCTGACTTGATTTTAGCAAACAAAACACAGCAGAAGTGATGGTGTGCAATTTCATAGGTAGGTCAAAAAAGGTATCAAGAAAAGATATGAGAAACACTGTTCTGAAATTAGCTATTAAAACACCACCATATAGTGTGTTTATGGAGGAAGAATTGTAAAATTAAGCAGCTAGAAATGTCAACAAGACTTAAAAGTGAGATTAAGCTAAACTACTGATGAGAACTCTTTTGAAGGTAGAAGATTTTCAAAACTTGAGAAAAAAGAAAAACTCTAATTGTATTTGAATGTTTTCATCATATAAAATTATATGAATATCAAAAAGATCCCTGACAATCTTAGAAGATTATTACCTGTTTTGATTTGTTACTTACTTTTCTGGATAAAATGAGCTAAAAATAAATCTCTGATCAAAATATTTTCTGCTAAATTGAATTAGCGTATCAGGCAGCCACTGAGGAAAAGTTTAGATTATATACATGAGAACTTTCTGCTTGTACTTCTGTTTTTCCCATTTTTTAAAAAGGAAAACATTAACAAGAAAAAAAATGGACCTGTCAAGAGAATTTCTAAAACAGAATTAGAAATACCTGTTACTAGCACTCCTATTTTGAGATGATACAAAAATCATTCTCTCTTCCTGACTCTTCTGATCTCAACACCCTTCCCTGTTGTGCACATGCCATATGTGAGCACTCATTCATCTCTTCCACATTAATAGCAAGTGTTATACAGACCAAAATTTAAAAATATACAGATGTAAGATTTAAGCTGGGTCTGAGTATATGTAGGAGTCAGACAGCTAAAAGAAGGCCGAAGGACAGTACAAGTGATAAAGTAAAGTCAAGGAAAGACAAATTCTCAAAATGTTTTCCATGGGCTCTTTATTTAAACCAGTTTGACTTATAAGGAACACAGAGGATTGGAAAGGTAGCTGAGCCTAACTGCAAACTGAAACAGGCAACTGAAAAATGGGATTTGGGGTAAGAGACCAAATTTGAAGTTCTAGCTCTCCCACTTATAGGAACAGTTAAAAGCAGGGGAAATAATAGAGTTGCTAAGAAATAAATAACATAATGAGCACATGTGACATTGTTATTTTTTCAAATAAATAATTAAACATGATTTTTAAACATACAGGTAGTATACGTGACAAAGAATTTCAGATGAGGCATTAGTGTTAGAAGGTTGGTTAGATTAATGCTCCTCTCTTTGCTTAATTTTTTATTCCATGCTTTTTCACAACAGGGTTTAGTGTGTACAGGATTAGTGTGAATATGTCACTTGACATCATTTTTCAGCAATAGCCTTCTCAAAGGAAGCTTTCAAGGACATATTCTATGGGCCACTCAGAACCTCATGGATTAAAAACTATTAATGAAAATAATTATGGTAACTTGTAATGTGATAAGTGCTTTATGTAAATTATTTCATTTAATCTTTACAATAATATTGACTCTAATATGAATAAATTATTTCCTCATCTTATAGATGAGAAAAGTGAGACCTAGAGAGGCTAAATGGCTTGCCTATAGCCCAGAGAACTTAAGGGACTCCAAAGCTCACTTTTAAAATCATTGAAATCCTGGTTAACTGTCTCTTTGTCTAGTTGATTTTATCAACTTTGCTTTAGTAGATTCTTGAATATTCCCTTTACCTACTCTGGCACTGATCAATAAATACATTCTAGTTATCTGAGATTTTTAATTTATCTAAATTCTACATGTAAATGAAATTTCTATGGGCAATACATTGAGGTTCTCCAAGATCTTGGATTTTTAATAGATAGCAACAAATTCAGAAAGGGGAGTACCCATAATAGACATTAATAAATTAGCAGTAAGCTAAAGGCAGAAACCAACTTTTATATTGTAAAGGAATCTTGCTATCTCATCCACTCCCAATAAAAACCGTCTGATGCAAGTGGTCCCAGTTACAAAAGAAAAAAGTGAGGACAACTGTGATTAAATTATTTAATCTGAGATCACTCAGGATGTGAGAAAGGCTTCTGATAGACACATCAGGTTTCTGTCTACCTCACTGCTAAATGGCAGGCCAAGGAACTTATAATGGGAACATGTATGGAGCACCTCAATAAGGTGGCCTAAAGCAGAAAGAGAAAGCATCAGAGAAAGCCAGCATCAAGAAGCAATGAGACATCTCTGTGCCAGATAATTTTTTCCTAATAATTATAATGAAAATTACTAGGCAATACTGATTATATACATGTGCCAGGTACTAACTAGAGACCACACACACACAATTTTCACGATATATACTTAGTCTCACTATAACTCTGTAAGGTAAGTACTACTCTTACCATCATCTTGAAGAGAGTAAATAACATACAGATTAAGAGATCCATCCCAGGTCACAGTCCTACAACCAGTAAATGGCAAATCCAGGGCTCTAACCCAGATGGTCTAGCTTTAAGTCCATACTTTCAACCACTACAGTGTTGTACTCTTTATTCATCTAACACACTCATTCTACCAATATGTTCTGGCACTCACTATATATTCTAGGATATACTAAGATTCAGGAAATAAACTTGAATCAACATCACAAAAGGATATTTGTAACAAATTTATCTTATTTTGAGCTTTTCTAAAGATAAACATAAACTGAGATTGAACAAAATTAGTCAACAATTCAGAATATATTAAAATATTTCATAATTAACAAATCATAGGTAAATTACTGCAGTGTTAACTACTGCAAACTCTGACTTCAGGATTTAGGAATTAAAAACAAAAAACCTAAGCCCTGAAATCAGGACAGGAGAGGAAAGCCATTAGCTCTCTGAAATAGCAACTGGAGGAGGGATTCTAATTGAAATGTATGGACTTCTTGGTAGAAAGGCAAAAGGTTCTAATGACTTTCGTTCTTTTCCCTCTGTCTACACCAAAATAGCCCATAATAAAAATTTCTCCTTATAAGGCTAGAGGAAAAAATCATTTATGTACTGGGTTGTCTATTTAAAAAAAGAATCCAAATCAGTAGTCATGGTACTTCTCTAAGAGTCTGACCATATGTGCCAGGAGTTAGGTTATTTTATAAGCTGACCATTTAATGTTTATATTACTAAAGATAAAGGTACTATTATCATCTTTAATTTACAGGGGAGGAAATAGAAAAGACCATACAATGCATGAAGCATGTGTCTGATGAATAAAAGACTCAACCCAAGGGCTAGTGGAGTAGCTCAAGTGGTAGAGCTTCTGCCTAGTAAGCGTGAGACCCTGAGTTGAAACCCCAATGCTACCCACTGCCACCACTCCCCAAAAAAAGAGAAAGGACTCAGTCCAGACAGAATGACTCCAGAATCCAGGCTCTGAGCATCATACAGGAGTGCCTCATGGCTGGGCAGCAATATACGGACCACTCTATTTCTTCCTGTCTGTAGTATTTCCTATAAACAGCCTCCTGTTCACCACCTCCTTTACTCCTCCTCTCTTCCCTGAGAACTTCACTGCTTCCTATCTATACTTTTCTTCACCCATGCCCACTTGCTTTCCAGCATGAGCCTGCCTCAGCTGAAAGTATTTATAGGTTTCTATTCAGCAAACCACATCTTTAAAGCAGTCATTTGACCCTAAAGTTCTTATCTTTTCAAAGCAAATACCTCAGTGTTGCCTGTCAGCAGAAGTTCTAGCTGAGTTTTCAGTTTTATGAGGAACAAAGACATTAGCTACTATTTCTTCATTTTTATTTCCTCACAAGGAGGACCTTGGTAAATGAATCAAAAGAGAGATGGCAAATTTCAAACCTTTGAATAATCACAAAAGTGGGAAAAGCCAGGGCTCTAGTAAAGTATCAACTAGCACAGTAATTCTCAAACTTTACTGTGCTTTAGAATCATAGTAGGCTTATTAAAAACACAGACTTTGAGGCCAGGCCCTACAGATCCTCATTCAGCAGAAGGGCTGAGCTGGCCCAAGCAGCTGCATTTCTAACAAGATCCCAGGTGATGCTGAAGCTGCTGATCTGGAGACCACACTTCTGAACAGAACTTGTGAACTAGACCACTGTGTGAGGATGCTCACATCACTTCATCACCATTCAAAGCAGATTTTTACCTTGGGAAGCTCCAGATGGTGCACATTTTTAAATGAACTGAGATCCACAGCTGCATCAGAAGTAGTAACACTTGGTTCCACCTGACAGAGGAAAAGAAATAGCAAAAAAAAGCAGCTGAGTGTTAGGTATTTTGGTTTGTTTGAATATGAAGGGCACTTTATCAATATTATTTCATTATAATTCATTATTACTATTTTGATAACTCATGGCATTTATGAAACATTATGTTCTCTTAAAACATTTAGGAGGTGTGACCAAACAGCAATTGTGGTGGTGCACAGAGCATCCAAGTGGACTGGAAGTTGGTCTAGATTTTCTCCATAATAAAATCTAACAGCAGCCCACCTATTCAACATGAAACTCACTGAACAAGGCACTATATAAGGTACCACTTATTATTCTTTCTGTGTTAGAGATCAAGGGAATTTAGAAACTATTAAACTCTGGCTGAAAATCATTAAAACATTCATTTTCTTAAGGTATATACTTAGTAAAATTAATATGAAAATAAAAATCTCTTCTTTATAACCAACCCATCTTAAATAATGTGACTAAGTTCAACAGCAGGAGCAATCAGAATAAGACAATGATTTGTACATCTATTTTATGTATAAATAAGCCCTCTACTTACATATTCATCCACAGTAGTGTTTTTGTTCCAATACCTCCTCCCATTGATAATCACCATGGTTCCCTCTTAACTTTAAACTGATTTCTTTCTACTACCTCCACTTATGCATTTTATATATGTATCTAAAGATTTTCCAAATCAAAACATAACTAGCACCAAAGCCCTCTTCCAATTCTTTGTAACCCTCTTGCTACTGCCCTCTCTCCTTAACTTTTTATCCATCATTTGATCTCAAAAAGCTCTCTTTTTTGCTTTCCCAATAATCTAGCTGCCAAATCACAGGGGCTCTATTTCACCATTTTCTTACTGGACCTCCCAAGTCATGAATGAATCCTCTTTTCAAAACATGCTCTCCTCAGAGACTGTGTAACCTGCCCTCCTGGTTCATCTACCTCCTTTATGGCCTCTTTTTTTAGCCTTTTTCCTTATTGTTCATATTACATGAGTCTGTCCTTCTTCTCCCTAAATGCTCTCCATAGGCCAGTGCTTTAGCACCCATGGCCAATAAATGTCAAGTCTGCATTGATGGGAATTGACCTCTAAACCCCAGATCAAACGTCCTAATGCCTTTTACCAGGCTTCCCAACAGGCACTTCATTTTTAAGCTGCCTCAAATAGAATGAAGCGTATTTTTATAATTATCTGTTTCTCTTTTCTAAATTCATCATTTTGATGAAAGACAACGATCTACCACATCATCAAGTCAGATATTTGGAAGTCTTGTACTTCCTGTCTGTTTTACTTACCAGCACGTCCCCATCCCAAAAGAGACAGATTACTGAAGAAATATTTATTGGAGCACATTTACCTGGAGATGAAGTGCCATCAGTTCGGGTTTTAAACATCTGATGTCATCATTTCTTCTTCTGTTGCCTTAGTTCAGGCCCTTATTGTCTTTCTACTGAATTGTTCCTTTTTTCTTATATTTCCTCTAACTTACCATCCTGAATAATTATTTTTTCTTTTTATCTGTTTACTCCCTCTAATTTAACTTTACTCCTCTGAAACCTCTGGTTTTTCTCTATGCTATTCCCACAGACGTTCTTAAAAATGTAATTCTCATTCATTTAATTCTACACTACCTCAAAGTAAGCATACAGTAACAACCTATCATACCATTTCTCTGGATCTGACCTATCTCTGCAACTCTCTCCCCATGCCTTGCCCCACACTGATTAGTAATACTCTGCACTTTTCAATTTCTTGCATTAGACAGAGGCTTATACCATTCCATACTCCCACAATATTTTTGATTCTAAATCTGCTAACATACAGTTCATGTATAGCTTCTATATAAAGTCTCATTCTTATTCTCTCCCCAGAGACAGAACTAGCAATTCCTTTCTTACTCTCACTGTTGCCTATGCAAACTCTGCAGGCAGCCTTCACGTAAGTGGTATGCTTATGTATGTGACTGTTGTCTTGTGAACTCTGAGCATCAAGGTTATAATTCATCTATCTTGGATACTTTGATATCCTTGTAGAGTTCCATAACAGTTAACTGAATTAATAAAGGATAATGTCAATCAAATCTCTTGAAGAAACAGATGCAAGTTACAAATACCTCCTTAGTCTGAAGATTCTCTGAGGTAGAAGGCAAAGGATCTACTGTATTTCCAGGACATACAGCCATCTGACTCATTGCTTCTTTATTTCTAAAAGAAAAAAGCATCGATCATTCATATCCTAATAATATTATTTCGATCTTATTTCAAGTAAGTTTGAAGAGTCAGAAAGATTATTGGTAAAATTCTCTAATCCTAAATGTCTGAAATGACAATATGTATACACACAAATATTTTATTTTCACTCAAGAGTCAAAATTTTAACAAAAGTGTTTGGTAAACCAGCCAAATGAAATGCTCACCTGATAAAAATTATTTTTACTTTAGAGGGGGCACATTTAATGATTGATGAGGCATTCTGGTGACTTCTTCCGTATAAAATTTGACCATTGATCTGTGAGAAATAACTATCATTAGGTAAGCCAGAAATTCTTCATTAGTTTGTATCATTCTATCAAACTAATAAAAAACATACTTTTTATTTTTTTAAACTATTATATGTATTTTCTTCCGTAGAACATGATCATGACCTTTGATGGTGAATAAAGAAAACCTCATGTTTATAGCTAACATTGAAGAGACATGAATGAACTCTAATATGCATGGGCTGTTAGCAGAAGTAACATTTGGACCAACTGAACAATAACAGACAGCAAACTTCCTGACAGGCACTGAGCTTCAGTAATACTTGATAAGCAAAGCTCAGTGGTCTGCAAAGACCATCCAGGGATGTCCCTTGCTGTCATGTTTCTCAGCTGGTCTTAAGGAGTGTGTCCTGGGAATAAACTGCTAGAAGAACCATATCAGGGAGACTTGGGATGTAGGCAGCAAACCATGGCTAAGCAGCACAGTGTCCAACAGAAACCAAACCACCAGCTTAGTCTTTTAATCATTTAGCCATTGCTTCCAAGACACTCTCTCCAACAGGGAAACAGGAGACTCAGGGAAGAATATATAGGTAATATGAAGATACATCTTACAGGAGGCAAGGACAAACATAAGAAAATAAAATTCTAGACACTATAAAGCATGGTTCACAAATTTTTTTGTTCACAAATTATTTTCCTTGGCAGGCTGAGTTACTGGGGTTTTTTTTTTTTTTTTTTCTATTTTAGCCTTAACCTTGACCCCACCTCACCTCATCCAATCACTTCTCTCATTAGGGATCCAAGTTCCAGAATGTCCAGTGAGTGGGTCAGCATTATTACTGGAGAATGACTGGTCATTTGGCTTTTCAAAAACCCCTAATAAAAGTGCAGCACATATAAAAATGTTTCTGAAGTGTGATTTTTATTACTATCTTGTGGCAAAATTTGTTTCTAGTGTTACACAGTCTTGACCTTTTAATGGAAGTTAAAGGGAACACAGACTCTTCTTAGTGGAGATTTGATTTGGAGCCAAATTTGCTGCAGTGCATCTATTTTATGAAGCAAGTGATAGTTTTCTTAGTCATTATATGAAGTTTGGATAATTTTATGGAAACTAAAGATTCCACTGCTCTGATACAGCAAGAGTAAATTAAAAGTTATCTATAAAACTTACCTCTAGGAGCTCATCTGCAATCTGTAATCGGCCATCTCTCCCTGCTGCTCCATTTGGATCAATTCCCACTATAAAGACACTCATTCTGCTTCGGTCTTTGTTCCCTGCAAGACTTAGACCCAAACCACTGCGAACTTTTTCCAGTTCAATCATATGGAGCTCGCCCGTAAGGGTTCCATAACGCTCTCTGATAGTTTCTGCAAACAACAGCAACACATGCGTAAAGTTAATTCACAGCCAAGTGACTTACTAGGGAATGCTAGTTACATTTTATCTAAAAAGGAAATTGTTTGATTCAAAATGTATTCTTTGACAGTTAAAAGCCAGATAGACTGGCTGCCTGGGTGTCAGGACTTGTTTCCCAGAATAATCAGATGTTGAGGAAATTCTTTGCCTTGCGGGTACAGAAAGCATGTCTGTTACTCTGTTCACTTTGGGGTGATCAGCCCTTAGAGATCATTTATAAACTCTCAAACCAGAAACTTTATCATGTAGAGATCAGAACAGAACTAAGGTACCCAAAATACTTTGTTCAGTGGTCAATGGGAGCTTCTCTTCCACAGGAAAATCTACATTATTTATCACATCACCTTGGGCAGTTGGGTTTTCTTTTCTGTTTTTATTCTTGGTACTGGTGTACTCAGGACCTACCACTTAAACTATGCTCCCAGTACTTTTTGTTTTATTTATTATTCAGATAAGGTTCACTTTTTTGTCTGAGGCTGGCCTCAAACTGTGATACTTCCTACAAGTATGAAATAGCACTGCCCTGCTTTTGCTTGTTGAGATGGGATCTTTCTAATGTTTTGCCCAGGCTGGTCATGAACCATGACCTTCCTCACAATACCTCCCAAGTAGCTGGGATTATACACATGCACCACCATGCCCAGTGGGATGAGTTTTCTTATTACATAGAACTATTAGACCAGGACAGATCAATGTTCCTGCCCTAGCTTTGAGACATATGTCCTAATTAAATGGGGACATTATTTCCTACTGTACATCTTCAAGAGGTAGAGTTTATTATCTACTCCCTTTAATCTGAGAGGGCAAGGCTACAGGTAAGTGCTCCAATCCACAGTCCCAGATGAGTGACCAATCTGTAGCCAGCATGAATTGCCAGCCATGCTAGCAACTCACCTTGGAAATAAAGGAAAGGAAATAAGTAGATTTTTTAAATGAAACTTTTTAACACAGTAACATATTTATAACTTTTGGCTAAATTTTTTGTCTTTTCCTATAAAATGGCTGATTTCCCTAGAAAACTGAGGCATCTCCTGGATCCTAATACAGGCTCTCTTTGAGTAATTTCCATGCATTGGGCATTGTGCTTAATACTCCTCAGACATTATCTAATTTAATGTCAGAAAGTGAGGAAAGAACTGCATTTTAAAAAGAAAGATAACCCTAGGTTAAAACTTAGAGGCAGGTAAACAACTTACCACATATCCAAAGTTTTTATATCAGTAGTTATACTATGCTACTATCCTGGCACAGAAAATGACAGAAAAGTTCAAGGTGTAATAGCAACAGCCATCAGATTTTATAATGAGGAATCTATGAGCTGGTAAAGTGTAATGCTTGTTCAAGAGCACAGGGTAGTAATCCAGTACAAGGTTCTTAGAGGACACCTTGTCCTGGTTAATTCTCTAATAAGAAGCAAATCAAGTGTAACAAGAATGCACATTTAACAGGAAAGGAAGGACATGATTTCATGGCTCAGGAATGCACATTGCATTCAAGGAAAAGAAACAGTATTTTTTTTTTTCCCACACAGAATTGCAGTTTGTGTCAATAAAGCTAAAACATGCTTATTTACAAAAGGCTAAGTCTTAAGAAACCCAGAGCTATTTTAATACCCCTTATAATTAAATGCATCACAAAAAAGGACAACTTACTCCAGCTGTAACCAAACTCATCTTTGTCCACATCTTCTGGGATTTTGCTTACAGATGACTCTGCGTGATCACTGCCCATTTCTGCAAATGCTGAAGGCGAGAGTGAAGGAACATCGCACAATGGAGCCTTCTCTGGCTCTGATTCTGACTGACTGGGTGCCTGTGGGAACAAGAAGAATGGGGTGGGTATGTGCAATCTAAGGAAGAAAACCATAAGAAAAAGAAATAAGAGCACAATGCTAAATGTCGTTAAAACATCTTCCAAATAATGGAAAGCTCACATATACATATGTGAAATGCTAATAGGTTTAGGTTTAAATAAAGAAAACAAAATAGTATCAGAGCACAATTTATTAAACTGTTATTTTCAATTATAAGTCAAAGAATAATTCAATTTGTAGGCTTAAGTAACCTAAAATAGAAATTGGTACACAGTTCCCATTTTGAGAAAGAAAAAGACTCACTTAAAGATTATAAACATGCAAGAGTGTGTGCTAGATTTTAGGGGTCTGGAAAAGTTTGTCAAGAAACAAACAAAAAGGAAAATTCACAAAGAAGTTATCCTTCAAAGCTTATTAATGAGACTACACATAAGGAATTCTTTATTGCTACCTCAGTCTGCTCTCCAAATGACTCTCAACAAACCCACAAAAAATAGCATTATGCATGTAGGCTTCTCTGCCAGGGGAGCCAGTTGTTAGCAAAGAGCAAGCACACAGATCAAATTTGAGGGCTGTGGTTTTAAGGGACAACCCCATCTTTCTCTTGCCAAAGTAGCTTACAAGGTAAATGAGAAAACACAGGAGGATACTTCATACAAAGGCAAAATGTGGTTGTCACTTAGGACCACTGGTCCCCTTTAAAAAGCCAACAGATTTGGAATTATTAAATTCTTATATTAGAGGTTATGCAACAGATTGTTAAAAGAGTTTGAAAGGCTTTCAAGTCACCTAGTACATTTCATTTATTTTGCAGCCGAATAAACTGCCTGAACCTGAGGCCATGAGAAGTGAAAGATTTTGTTCAAAACCACACAGTTGTAGTAGACTTCTATGTGCTTAATTCTTAATTGAATTTACTTTGCATTATGCCACACTGTCGCCCCCCAGTTTCCACAGTAAGACAGTACCAGATTCAAAGGGACACCCAGCTAAAGTACTAGTCCTGGTATGAAGTGGTCTCTGATTTTCCCATCCTATATTTCTATTACTCTTTATTCTACTTTTTTCTGCAGAAAGCCCCTGTCATATAACTTGATATCTTCTTTATGTATATATCTAGAAATGATTTTTATTAAAAAAACTACTTCTAATAAGAATACTAAGTGATAGCCATGCTCTTACATATAGAGGAATTATTAATTGGTGCTAAGAATTAGAATACCACAAAACATATATAATACCAAAATCATATGACACTGAATGTCATTTTCTTTGACAATTCAGAAAGCATACAATTCTCTGGCAAAGCAAGGAGCTAGTTGATAAGAGATTTCAAGGCAATCGAAAATGTTGAGTTTATGTATCATTGTCCAAACAGATAAAAGTTTGTGCAAATGAATCCCTGTCTTCCCAAATGCTGTGCATAAATGTCTCAAATAAATAATGTACAAGTAAAAATGACAAAACATTCAAAATGCCTCACTGAATCCAATCAAGATTCAGATATCAAAGTAAACAAGAAAGAGATACATATACTTCAAATTTTTTCTGGTTAAAAAACCCATTTATTTCTCTGTAACAGAAAATGTTATTTAGCAAGCATAAGTTAAGTCCACTTGATTTTTGAAAAGTAAAACAAAATCTAATCTAAACTTGCTCCAATTTTAACAAATTTATGTATGTACATTTTATAAATTTTGCTGTGCATTAAGAACAAAGAAACACAGCTGCTTATCTGAAAAAACTATTCATGATCATAGGCACATTTTCACATTGTTAGTAAACTAAAATTGTGCTTTAACCTAATTGATTAATCACAAAAATAGTATTACTTATTTGAGGGACAATTAGGTCTTCCATTTTACTGTCCCCAACACCCTTGTTTTATCAAGATCATGTAATTGGCTTATTATTGACATTTCCTAAAATTTATACATGAAAATATTTGTTCTACAATGATAATTTAGTCTTTTTGGCAAAAGGCAGGGTGCACTTGCAATCATTCCATGCCAGGTATGTATGCGTTAAGTGCAACACACATGAACTGCACACTGTAGCACACCCACTTCTGAAAATTTCTCATTGAGACAAACCTTAAATGGTGTGGCAGCAAAAGGGTTAGATGGGGAACAATGGAAGATAACTGTACTTGAATTCTGTAATTCCTACAGTAATAGAAAACATACTCCTTCAGATATGGCATCTTTACTTATCCATATTACAATAACATGAAAATCAAATGAATAGTCATAAAATGATTCCAAAAAGAAATTGTTGATAGCTTTCTTCTTTTCCATGATCAAATTATGGTATATGTGTTCTTGAATTTTTGTTTCAATTTGGTTTTACAATTTCATCAGAATATGAGACTATCCAAGTATAGATTTGTGAGCATTGAAACAGTTATGTTTCCTAATTCTGTCATTTACTTGGACACACTTTATGAATATTCAAAAGAATCCCCCACCTACATTTACACAATTATTTGTAGAGTGATTAATTTATGGAAGAGCTTTCATGACCATCTTGCAGAAGTATGAAAATGTTTTAAACTAATACAAGGTTTTAAGAAAATTATGTGTGAAAGTAGTTCATACATTTGGTAACTAAAAATAATTTAAGTATCAGAAAATTTAAATTATACCAAAATGCAGGAAAGGCACTGGACTCATGATTCTCCCTTCTTCAGAAGGGCCATTTAATTTCAGATATAAAAATAAATATTCTCTGGCAGGAAAAATGTGGTTAAGAAATGATTTGCATGCCCACTCCAAACTGAAGCTGTTTGTTTTTCCTGCCAAAATGCAGCAAACAGCGAACTGGGACAAAGGCACAGCAGTAACAAAGAACAAAACATTTGCAAAAGGCAATGGCAACACAAAGGGCATTATCCAACCTTGTCAGCGTTGAACTGGAGAGAATCAGCAAATGGGTTAGTGCTGCTGAAGTTGTACTTAGGGTAAAGGTTGTGCGGCAAGGAAGGCAAAGGGGATTTCTAAAAGGAAACAGAAGAGGCGCTGAGCGCATAAAAAATGTATTTAAAACAACTCAATTTATAGAATAAAGAACTTACTGATCTAAAGAACTGCCTGTGTGAAACTAGAGTCTGCATCTAGTAATTCATTAGCATCCCCTCCTAAAACGATCTGTTACTAATGCTTTTCCACTACTGACCTGAGTGTACACCTGAGTCTAAATCAGTCCACAAATGGCAAAGGAAACCAGACTGTGACCCCAAATTTCTTTTAGCTCCCCTGAATAACTTCACTATCACAGTCAGAGATATGCATTTTGCCCACTTTATATATTAAGTTATCCTTCATGGATATCATAAAACATCTTTCAAAATTAATACCACAAAGGTTTTTTTTATTTATATTTAAAAGCTAATGATACTTACTACTTTTCAATAGTCTATCTGTTCCAGAATGCAAATAAAGCACTTGTCTGTTAGTTTATTAGTAACCTTCATTATTCCTTTGTTTCCCAATAAGGAAGCTTTTCATATTTTGGCTAGTATTAAGGCTGATTTGGAACAATCATATTTTTAAATTAAAAAAAAAAACACCAAGAAATAAACCACTATGCAATGGTGTTCTCTATTCCTGCCCACTTTTTGTGGAGTTAGGATCATGGAAATCCATATTTTTTTAAAACATATATAAAATTTCCCACATTATTGGAGAATTTATGGGCTTTGGATAATATTTGAAGTCCTGCCTTTGAGTTTCTCTTAGGTTTTGAGGCTTGCCTGTAATGCCCCCTGAGCCAGGACAGTTAAGAGTTGAATATACATGTTAAAGGCAGAATGCCTGTCAATAGAATTTAACATTTTCATAGCTTAAAAAAAATGAAAAAGTAATTTCCTTAGCACAATAAATTCTTCTCCTTCTTTTCAAAATCTTCTTCTTTTATTCACTATATCTTTCAGGGAAAATTGCAGACATTTAAAATTCATCTTGGCTCCAATTAAATGTTTGTGTTACTTCTCTACAAAAGCCCCACTGGCAGGCATAGGTTGTCATGTGACCACCACCCTGGATGGGAGAACACTCTGGAAAGACTCCCTCAGTGTGCCTGCATCAAAGCTTACGGCCATGTTACCCTTTCAATCTGCTCTTCTCAAAATGTTTTTCCTACAGAGGCAAGACAGGGAAAAGATATGGCACAATGACATTTCTCTTCATCTCAACTTTCTCCTTGCTTTACAGTTTAAAATGTCAACTCCTGCTTTACAAAAGAGGAAATCACAAATGCCAAGGAACATGACCATTTATTAAGGTGGAAGAAATGAGTGGGCAGGGATTCAAAACATATCCTAGGCAAAATAATTCAATGCCATGGAAAGTGGGGATTATTTCCAATCTTCACCCTTAGTATTTCTAGGTTACAAGTGTCCTTTATAATTTTGTAGAACAGAAAACAAAGCCATAAGAGCAAGAAGTGGAAGTTACAGAGACCTCTATTTCTTGATTTTTTTCTGTCTTTTTTTATTTTGTTTTTTGTTTGTTTGTTTGTTTTGCTGATCTTACAGAATTAGAATTTGGCCCTGATAGCAGAGAGTAAAGGTACAGCAGGAACAGAGCAGATGAAATGGTAGTCACTCTAAAGAATTATAGAAAAATTATTTTGTTAAAATAAAAATTAATGATGAAATGTTTATGTATGGTCTCAAAGGCTGATAAAAGAAGAAGAATATTATTAACTAAGAAGAAACATAGGGAAAACAAAGACATTCTTGGTCCATATGAATGGGGCCACCCTTCAGTCGTACAACCTGGCCAGACTGAAGTTTGTGAAGTGTAACCCTGGTCTCAGCTAAGGGCCAAGGAGACTGGATGGCTTTTTAACACATACAGAAGATTTCCTGGAAGATTTACACTCCATCTACAAATAAAACATTCGCCCCGAGACACTATTAAGTATCTGTATTGAGGACTTTTTTTGTTTTTTTACTTTTAGATTACAGGAGATATAATTATTTCCATAGGGAGGTAAATCGTTGTAAATAAAGTATAACTCATTTTAAATGCAAAATTAATTCTAATTTCTCACAGCAAAATGTGTATAACTTAACTAAACATGTCACTCTAAGCAAGATTTATCCTGAAATAATTGCTACAAAATTAGGTGTCATTATATCTCAGATAATAAAATAGGAGTATTTTCCAGGTGTATGAGACAGTATCATTGTAGCTTATTAGAAGATGTGACTAGCATTGAAAGCAATGTTTCTAGCTCCAGTTTTAAAATAGCACTAAAAATCACGATTCAGCAGTTTATAATATTGTCCCAAATGATATGCATTAGAAATTAAAGATAAGACAAAAAGGAATAAAACCCACCCACACCGAGAAAAATCATTTTAACTTAACCAGCCATTTACCAACATTATCATGCTGTGTCTATGTTTAACACAACAAATAGAAACAAATGTAAAAAGATTTGTAGTTATTTAAACAAACTGAATAACAGTTACAAAGATGCAATATGATGCAGCCCTACCATTTGCCAGATTTTCTATCTGAATGGATAATTATTACCTAACAATAAACAACTGAATGATTAAAAACTGCAGATGTGAAGATAACTGCTTACATTAAGAACTACTAAATTCATTCCTTACAGTGAACCCAGACCAGAGTTCCACCTGTCTTGACAACAAAAGGAAGGATCAGTAAGATAAATTTGGTCACTTTATATTCTGTGACACAGAAAATTAATGCTACTTTTATTGATCTATTCAACAAAACTGTTTGCTACCTCCCTCTCTTCATTTGAGTATTAATATCTTAAATTCTTACAAGTTAAAATTTAATGTATTTCATATGCAAAATCATACATTTTAAGTTTTAGGTGATGCCTTTAATTCCATCACATACACTGACATTTTTCTTCCAAAGACAACCAACTCTTAAATTCCAGTAAGCAGATAATTCAAAGGGAATCAGTATGACAGAAGTGAAGTCTCTAGGCAACTCCTAAAATGGTATAAAAACCAGAGGGAATACATATGCTTCTGAAGAACTATCTCAGGCATATGTAATATATATTTAACAACTGCTGCATATGAAAATATTTTTTCAATGAGGTATGAAGAAGGAATAGGAAAAATCATTGTCAATCACTGGCATAATTTTCACCCTCAGAATCATTAGGACATACCAAATTTACAAGACTTAGTTTATATTTTTTCTATTACCAATGTTCACTAAATATGTTTGTATGTTCTAAAAAAAATTTGGGGGGTCAGGTCTTGCTATATAGCTCAGGCTAACCTCAAACTTACAATCCTTTTGCCTTAACCTCCTGAGTTTTAAAATTATAGGCACAAGCCACCACACCTGGCTTATAAAATATTTCTTAAAGCTATTTTATCTGTGATGACTGAGGGTACAATGGGTTAGCAGATTTCTGTCTACCAGAAACTATACTGTGATGAGCTATAGAATGACCATGAGTAAGCAACAGCAATTATGAAATTACTTGTGAATAAACAAAATTCACCCTGTGAAAAATCTAATGTTTGGTAGGATGCACAAAAGTGTCAAAGATCTGATTCTGGGATGGCACAAACAGGAGATTCTGACTAAACAGTAAGTTTAAAGAAAATGTAATCTTTCTGGCATCTAAGGACTCTACTAGAGGATCATGGACTATTAACCTGAATGACTACATCACATTCTTTTCAACAACTGTGTGTTTTGTGACTATAATAAACGCTAGTAATTAACCATTAAGACTACTATGTTCACCAATACATCCTACTTGTATGTGTTTTCCATAGACATCAAGTCTTTATTAACCATGGTGGAAGGGATTTATGGCATAAAAGCAAAAGAAACTTTTAACAAGTCTTCTCAGACTTCAAGAATCAGCATCTGCTTATACAGACAACTTGGCCCTAGATACATTAGACTCCAAGTTGAGCACTGTTTGGATATGCCTACCTTGCCCTTTGTGATTGCTTACCCTTGGTCTGTTTATAATGCTCTGTACCAAAAAGACTACAGGGCTGCCTGCTTTCCGAATGGCTTCCACAGCTTGTTCATGGCTTGCATCTCTGAGGTCCATTCCATCCACCTGCAATGGAAGGCCTCAGCTTAACATTTCAAGAAGCTATAGAACAAAAGCACAATTTGTGGATCTGGAGTTTTGAGGATCCTCAGTTAGGCTCCTAGAAAATCTGTTTCAGTGCCAAAAATAATTGAGACTACTTTGTGAGGCTGCAAAACTTTTCATCTTCCCAGCAGACTTGTAGTCCCTTGTTTTCAACTCAGATTTCTGTCTCCAATAATCATATGGAATAATAATCAATTGGAATGAAGGTTTTGTGTCTGCGTTCCTTTCATTGCTCAGTTGTTCCTTTGAATCAATCAGTATCATTAAAGAAATAATATACAGGACAACCTAGAAGCATTTTCTTCATAAAAGGTATTGTGTTAATTTCCTTCTAATTCATTATAGTGATTTGATAAGCAGGTAGGATATTCTTTGTGTAGTTGTCTCTGTACAGGAAAAAACCGAAGTAAAAAACAAAAATGTGATATCTAGAAAAATCAGATTATAATAAGGTTAGTTTTACAAAAGAATCTTTGCAGTAGTCATAACAGGAGCTGAAAGCCAAGAAATTATGCTCATTTGTTAGTAATTTTTATGTAAAAAGCTAGAAAATGCAAGTGATTCTCTAATTTTTTTATTGACTAGTTTGCCTGGGTGATGATCAGCTAAGCTCATATACTACACGATCAAGAAGGAAAATAGTCTCAAAGGCCAAATGCTAATCCTGCCAGAAAAACTGCAGAAGTTATTATCACTGTATCATCTCCAATTATCAAGTCAGCTCAGAGTGGACCCAATTCTGGAAAAGAAAATCAATCATTGAATCTTGGCAAAGAAATTATCATCTTGAAGAGATATACATTTAATTGCAAACACCCTGCATCCAATAATTAGATGACTTAAAAATATATTTCAGAGCATATTAAAAATGGCTTCTAACTTTTCCATACAACAAAAGTCAGTATTCATGTCTACTATACATGAATATAGAATTTATAGAATATAAAATTTTCAATAAATTGAAATTTTTTACTAGTATGCTATCTATCTTTGCTCAAGACCAGTGAAACCTAGGATCAGAATGGAACACTTTCTAAGTCTCTGCTGCTTACCTAACACATTTTCAAAACGTGTTAGCACAGGCTATTTTAGAATCTCCAAGGATTACAGGGAGGCCTAAGGTTTTCTTACTTACTGGGAAGGTCTCTGCATAAAATGCACTCAACAAGGCATTGCTAAATTACAAACAATTTTTTTTTTACAACACAAAACGTCCTTTCTTTTCAAGTTAAAGGGGATACTTTGTTTTTCTTATATAGTATCTCCCAATTTCTTTTTAATTATTCATTTATTCACATGTGCATAACATTGTTTGAGGGGATACTTTAATTCTTCATATATTTAAACAATACTTTTGGGAACAAACTATGTTCAATGTTTTCTAAAAATGATTATAAAAAATTCTTATTTTTCTGTTTAGCCCAATAGTATTTAATAGAGAATTATGCATAAAAGAAACTTCCAAGTAATAATCAAAACTTGAAAATTTAAATGAAATTTTAACTAAAAGTGTTTTTTAAAAGGGACTAATATAGTCATCTAATGAAAGATAAGGATGTAGCAGGGAAAAAAAAGCTTATTCTTTCTTATAAATGGTGACAGGGAGAAGAAAAGGACAGGGAATTTGCTTTCTCTCAGATCTCAATTTCTTCCTTCTTTGGCTCTCGAAGACAATCAACAAAGGAATAAATAGATAATTCCTTTAAATTATTTTATTCTAGCTCAAATTCTAATTCTAATTCTATTTTTCTTTTGTCATACTGGGGGTGGAATCCAGGGAATCCAGGGCTTGGTACATGCTAGACAAGTACTCTACCACTGAGATATACTCCCAGCCCTAAAAATGTTCATTTTTAAATCATGGTTGACACTCTAAACAATTAAGTACTTTAATGCATATGTTTTATAGGTTTAGAAAATGAGATAATTGCTTACTCAAAGTAAACACAATGGTCATTATAGTAATAAAAATTGTCATTACTTGGAAGCTGCCCCTTCTGAAACTTTATAAACCAGCAACTCTGTGTCAGGAACCCATTTCTCTACCTTTAAATAAAACTGTGCTTAACTTGATTAAATAATTTATCACACTGCTCTGAAGTTACTTCACTACTTGTCAAATCTGTCCCTTTTGCCAGGCAGGCACAGTGGCCTGTCTACTTTGGGAACCTCACAGCCTGACATAGCACCTGGAGTGCCACAGTTGTTCCAGGAGTACCCATGGGTAAATTGAGTGTGTGGTTCATGAGAAGAGCCTACTTAAAATACAAAACTTTGCTTTGAAATAGCAATTACATACAATCTACCTATGTGCTTCACTCTTACATATAACAAAATACACATACATGTGCACACACACAGAACCTTCTGTGAAGAATGGGCACAGTGCCAAGAAGGAAGAAGATCCTAGCTTAGAGTGAAGGGAAACATTTATAAAAAAAAGGAATCAAGATCTTAGCATTGAAGACTTTACCAAAAGAACTCCCTTGTAACAAAATTTCAGCCAACAAAGTTTATATACAATGAAAAGATAAACTCCTCATTGAAGAACTTAATAATGCTGTGTATACTTTCTATGTGTATGTATAATTTTAAACAATTCATTTTCCCCAAGAAATTTACTTTGTTCATTTAAAGACAGTTATTTTACTTTGGGGCCAATATTTTTTAAATAGACTGGCTTTATCTCTACATTAAGATACATAGTCTGTCATCATATACATGAAAGAAAACAATTTAGAAAGAAATGCTTTAAACATATTTACTCTAATATTGTATGGAGTAATTAGTACAAGGGTGACAATTTCCAGGTAAAGAAGGAGGAAAAGGAGAAGAATTTCAACACAGAAAGTTCACTTGCAGGTACCTCTACTATTCTGTCTCCAGGTTTCAATGTTCCATTTTTGCCAGCTGGACTATCTTCAAGAACATGTTTGATGAAAATGCCTCTCATTACTTCCCCATTGCTTAGGCGACTCCCCATCCCTCGTCCACCAACAATGCTGATGCCCAAGGATTTGCTTGGTTCTCGCCAGAGTTCAACCCTACAAAAAAATGAAATTTTAAACTCTCAGAAAAAACACAGAGAAAGAGCTACTTGTATTTGGGGATGTCTTCTTGCAGATGACACCAAAGGCATAGGCAATAGAAGAAAAAATAAAGAAGCTGGACTTTATCCAAATGAAAACCATATACATATATACTTGTGCACCATGCACCACCACAGGAGGAAAATAGTATTTGGTCATGTATATGTACTGGGGTTTTAACTCTGGGCCTCAACATTTGCTAGGCAGGCACTCTACCACTTGAGCCACTCCACCAGTGAAAAATAGTATTTGGTAATCATATATCTGCTAAAGGGTTAATACTCAGCAAATATATAGAACTCCTAAAACTCAATTACAATATAACAAAGGGATTAAAAACTGGGCAAAGGACTTGATTAGAAACTAGTTGATTACCCAGTAGAATTATTAAAAAAGAAGAAAATGACAAGTATTGGTGCAGTTGTACAGAAACTGGAACCATGAACATTGTTGGTGGGAACGTGAAAGGGTACAGCTGGTATGGAAAACAATTCTTTAGTTCCTCAAAAAATTAAGAATACAATTACCACATGATTCAGCAATTCCACTTTTGAGTACATTGCCAAAAGAATTCAAAGCAGGGTCTTTGAAATATTATACACCTATGTCATAAAAACATTATTTATAATACTCAAATGCACCAATAGTCTGATGTCCATCAAAAAAATAAACAAACAAAACGATATATAATATAATGAATATTATTCAATCTTAAAAAGGAAAATTCTGAAACAGGCTTCCACATGGATAAACTTTTTGAGGACACTATGTTAAGTGAAATAGGCCAGCTAAATGAAATAAAGGACAATGCCTTATGATTCCTTTCAGATGAGCTACCCAGACTAGTCAAATTCATAAAGACAGAAAGTAAAATGGGAGTTTCTGCAAAGGGCGGGGAGGGGCAGAGAGAGGAATGGGGAGTTATTTATTTATTTAGTGGTACTAGGATTTGAACTCAGGGCTTCAGACTTGCTAGGCAGGCATTCTACCACTTGAGCCACTCCACCAGCCCTGTTTTGTGTTGGGTGTTTTTGAGATAGGGTCTAGTGAACTATTTGTCCTGGCTGGGTTCCAACCATGATCCTCCTGATCTCTGCCTCCTGAATAGCTAGGATGACAGGCCTGAGCCCCCAGCACCAAGCTGGAGTTACTATTTAATGAACAGAATTTCAATTTAACAAGATGAAAAAAGCTCTGTAGGTAGATGGTAGTGATGGCTGTATGCCAATGTGAATGTACTTAATGCCTCTGAACTGTACACTGAAATGGTGAAAATAGTTAAATATAAATGATAATAAGTAAATATTTTAAAATGATAGCATTGTAGCAGTAAATCAAAGATAGTTTAAACTATGTTCCCAATTATGTATTTTGTAGGATATGATAAATACTAATGTATTTGTTATGCTGATTAGTTATAAATAAATACCAGACTCATACTCCAGGATTAGGCACAAATCAATGCAAAAGTATCATTCTGCAGGAGCTTTAACACTACAGACATCAAGTAATCAGGAAATTCAGCTACCACTGAACAGATGGTAGTTTCTAAGCTTAGCAGCCAAATCCAGGGAAAGAACACTCCTGCACATGCTATGTCAGAAGCCGGCCTCTGTGGGAGTCTTTCTTGCCAAGGCAGACCTGGTCATTAACAGTCAGGTCATGAAGAGAGTGGCTGACAAAATCCTACATGATCTGGTCCCTCTACTACCTTCCTAAACTCCTCATCACCTTACTGTTCCTTAAGTTGATGTGATATGCTCCCACCTTGGGGCCTTAGCACTATCTACTTCCTCTGCCTTGAATGCACATCCTCATACCCACAAAATAAACACATGAATTCACATATGATAACTCAAAAAGCTCTAAGAGTTAAGGATGGAATTTAAAGTATGCATCTTGTGAAAAGGCAGGGATGTCAGAATAAGGTGATTTGCAGTAAGGTATTTGGCCCAGACAAAGAAACAGCTCAGGTGTTGGAGAAAATGAACTCAATAGAAATCTTATGTTAATGATAAAAATTCTGAATCGATTCCAGTCCCCCAAAAGGCATGTTGACACTAAGTAGGAGCAGACAGGATGGTTCAATGTGCTCTCAACATTGACATTTGAGGTACTTCCAGAGGAGAAGAAAGGTCAAAATCAGGACTCTTACAAAATGAAGGTGGTTTCAGAAAGAAAAAGCTGGGGATGAAAGTGTACCTTAGATAAAGGGACAGGATGGCAATGAGTCAAATGGATACAAATGCTAAGACATGTTTTTCCTTTGGTCAGAACTTTGTCCTTAACTGGAAATCTGTAATTCTAGAAACTTTACCTACTTAGCTTGAATGATCCTTGATCTTATAAAATCTTTGCAAATAAATTAGCTAAAATTCTGTTCATTATTTTCTCTGTCCAGGAATTCTATGTAAGAAAAGAACATCCATTTCTGTTTCTTAAGATCCTAAAGAAAACTGGCAAAGCAAAGAAATCAATGAGTTCAGCCATTGTATACACAAATTTAAAAAGCTAGAGTACATAGGTAGGACTCTCTATGTCTTCTCTTAGATAGGAAAAAACAAAACCCATAAAAGAATGAAAGACAATGTTTCCTAGGGCTCTTTATGGTTAGTTAAATTAGAAATGGTTAATATGATTTCTGGAATACTAAAAAAAAAATCAGCAATAACAGCAAACATTTATTGAGGGCTGGTCATGTCTCAGTTTTGTTCTCCAAGTGAGTTACATACACTTTCACTTAATTCTCACACCTATCATATAGGATGGATAGTTCCTATTAGCTCCATTTTAAGAAGGGAAGAATCACAGATAAGGTAATTTTATATAACAATGCAATATACTCTCACGGGGCATAAAGTAAAGCTTGTGAATCTTTAAAATAACACGGAATACAAAGACAGAGCTTCCAAAATAATCACAGTGCTCAGAAATCAGATTCATTATTCACTACATACAGCATGGTAAATGTCCCTGGAAAGCTGGATGCTGGTGGCTTGCACCTGTAATTCTATAGATTTGGGAGGCTAAGATCGGAAGGATTGTGGCTCAAAATGAGCCCAAGAAAAAGTTCATGAGATCCCAATTCACAGAAAAAAGCTGGGTGTGGTGGCACATACCAGCTACAAGCTAAAAAAAGAGGGTTGTGGCAGGCCAGACTGGGCAAAAAAAGAGACCGTCTATACAAAATAACTAGAGTAAGAAGGGTTAGAGGTTTGGCTCAAGTGGTAGAATGCATGCCTACCAAGCATGAAGATACTGGAGTTCCCACCTCAGTATCACACACACACACACACACACAAAAAAATCCCTGGAAAATAAAAAGGTGACCTACAAAAGAACACTTTGTCACTCTGTAGTACATGTTCACTTCCGAGTTTTTTCTGGCTCTAAGACCAGACTTCCTGGGCTATGAGCTGAGTCCCTAGGTTTTGGTTCTGCTCCTCTGTTCCTTAATCACATGACACTAGGCATCTTTCTCTCTCTGTCTTACGTTCCTCAGCTGTGAAATGGGGCCAATAAGAGTTTCTACATACAGGTAAATGTAAAATAAAAGGATTGGAATATAGTAAGCAACCAAAAAATCTCTTACAATGATGATGATGATCACAATTTCTACAGTAATGGAAGAACTTAGAAAATTTAATCCATGACAAATGAACAAATGTGTACCCCATGATCCTGTTATATCTATACTTGCTTATTAGGACTTACTTAGCGCAAAATATCTTTCACTGTCCTTTGTTTCATGTATCTCTAAATCTTGCCCAGATAAGTACATTGTAACTTCCTTGAAGGCAGTATTTATGTCGTACACTTCACTATTATTCACAAAATCATCAACTTTCTATCTGGATCCATATCAAGACTCAACAAAATCCTATTCAAATGAAGTTGATTTTACTCAGCATAAGAACGTTAATATGTCTTTGTGATGCAGTTATACATCAGAGCATACTCAAGCAAAGTCATCTTTTCTATTATATATGAAGCAAGTTCTAGACAGTGTGTGGCTTTGGATAAACTCAGCCTGTGATATCATAGTTGCTCTCACACACATATATTTTAAATGTATATTTGAATCTAGTTTGTGCTAGAGAAACTTCAATGAATGCTTAGTGTATTTCTAAGATAAAATTTTTCTGAGAAAATTATGCATTCCAGCTATCAATGAATAATTTTCTCTAGCTAATTTTATTTAGTCTCTAATAAATGCCAGATAGTTGCATATGTGTTAGTTTTAACCCTGTGTGATACACATTATTTTCTACACTGTACAGATGAAGAAATGGAGAGTTAGGAACATTAAACAACTTGTCCAATGTCACAAATAACAAGTTGCAATGTAGCACTTGAAATCACATCCTTTATCTTTAAACACATATTTCCACTGAGTGGGTGGAAGACAGAAATAGACCTTACCGCCTGGGCTGATTCCAGTTGCTGTATGCTGCATTCTGAAGTTCACTCTCTTCTCCCTCTCCTTCTTCTCGCTCTGGTAGTTCTGGAATGTCTCTGGTTAAAGAGTCACACAGTAAGTATTTTAAGCAATATTGTCTCACATGTACTTACTTATTGGTTAGGACAAAAATGCAGATCTGCTTTATATTTCACCATACCTGGCCTATAAGGATAGAATATTTTTATGCAGAGAGAAAGAAAAGCCTACCAAATGAAATAAGAAACTTACATTAGAATTAATCCACCATAAATTTGTCTAGAGATATAGCTGAACACAAAGTCTTGTCTAGTCTATTTCCTGATGAAACATAGGAGAATAAAGAAAAGGAATAGGACAAAAGTAATAAATACTAAAATTCTGAAGAAAAACTAATCAACAATTATTTCCTGAATTCATAACTTATACAAAAAGCCAGAGGAACCATATGGGTTGTAAGTATATATAGCCCAGCTCTTTGCCCTAAAGGAATTTATCATCAAATATGCCAGGATTTTAGCATCTCTACTTCCTAAGGACACACTACACTGTCCCTTCAAGTTTTGAAGAAAGATGGAAAATGCTTCTAGTCCAGCTTCAGTCCATCCAGACAGCCCTGAAATGGAATATTCCTTACATGAAGGCTGTGTGCCAGATCAATGATCAATTTTTGAAGCAATTCATATTTTGCCAAATATCAAACCAAATGCGTCCAGTCTATTCATTTACTATAAAACTACAATAACTATATCAAGACTATTGTATTTCTCAAGAGGTATATTTTGTATCAATAAATGATTTGTAAAGGCAATAGAGAATAACTAAATTGGGCTGGGAGTGTGGCTCACGTGGCAGAGTGCCTGCCTGGCAGGCAAAAGTCCCTGAGTTCAAACCCTCACACCTTAAAAAAAAAAATAGACAGAATAGCTAAATTGATTATGGCAGATCCTTATGATGTTGGTAGAGAATGTATTTCTGAAGAAACATGTCTACATATTCCTTTTATAGCAGAGAAGGCTATTAAAATTCTGATTTAATAAATATATTTCAGCTGATTTTATACAAACTAAAAAAGCATAGCCATTCTCCACTGATGGGAACACTGACCTCTCTCAAATTATACAATCTTTAGACTTTGAGTTCAGAGGCCATCTAATCCAATCATCCACCTGGCTTGAATGTGCTTGACAACATTCCTACTTACTACTTTTATGTTTGAACTACCTCTTATGCAAATTAGAAAATAAGGCTCTAAATAAGGCTGGGCTTCCTATACTCTTAAGTCTGGCAGTAATGCAGGACAGCTGGGAACAGTTCCAAGAAGGGGAGTTAAAAAATGATGTCAAGTCAGTGAGTGACAAATAGTCCATGTGCAGGTCTCATCCAAAGGATATAAAGGCAAAAAGGTAAAAATGAAGCCTAAACCTCTAGAAATACAGCTGGAGAGAATACAGTTGCAAAAACTGGTTCAGAAGACACACAGAATGAGAACTTACAGACAGCCCTAAACTATCCACTGGTAGCCAAAGCACTAGGGGGAGTTATGAGCCTTAAAGTCAAAACTGGGGAGCTACTCAAAAACACTTGTGCCCATACGGCACCATGGCTCTGCCTTTTTAGCTGTGAGAAGAGAAATATCTCTGATTCATGAACACTGGTTTCTTCAAATGATTCAGTCATTTTAAATCCTTTCACTAACCCAAACATACTCTTCCAAATGTGCTATACATTCTTTATCCAACAGAGTGAATGGTTTCAAGGACTCAAATGTCATGTGCTCCTTCAAGCAGAATGGAGAAATTCTCTTCTTCCTATACTCAGTCAGCCAAGAAAGAGCTAGATTTCTTTTTCCCTGTGTTACTATGTTGACAAAGAAATTCCTATTAATTATAATCAATAACTCTCTTTACATCTGTGTATAGGTTCTAGGTGAAGTAAATAGGACAAAGTCACATTGTCCTGTAGCAGTGATGTTGGAATTGAGGCCATCTTACCATAAAACCTGAGCTCTCAGCCTAGTTTTATATGAAACTATAAGTGACTTTGCTGCCACTTAGTTTGTCTGTGGGACTCTGGCAAGTTATTTAACCTGTCTCTATTGCAGATTCCTCCTGTATAAGAAGCAGACTGTTTTGTTTTAAGCATCCTGACATCAATAGCAAATATTCCTCCTCTGCAATGAAACAACTGGTCGCAGTAGTACACAATGCACGGCATTCCCATTTTTGTACTGACTGGAAGCACAATGATAAAACTCTTTCTAATAACTTGAGTATATTAATAGGACTAAGATATAAACTGTTTTCTTCTTTAATTTTGTCACTTGAAACAATACTTCAGAGGAATATTGGAATGATTGCTTTTCCCATTTTGATAGGAAGCCATGGGAAATTATAATCGATCTTTGGCATTCAGGCTGAGATGGAAACAGAGCGTAGTGTGGCTGAGTTTTGTGAGGAGTAGAGTACTCCTTTTCCCATAAAATTCATGAGGTCCAAAGGACCCTAACATTCCTTCCCTTTATTACACATAGCATGTTCTATCCCTTCCCTATCACTTTCTATATACTACGGTCCTGTGTATTTTGCAGAGGAAGCAATGATGTAAGATCATGATTCCTGCTGGGCCACTAGACACCAGGGGGTTCTGGAATGTTCTGACATTTTCTAAGGAAGGAGAAGGCCTCAGAGGTTTTTCAAGGCTCAATCTGCTCCTCAACATGCTCAAAGAGAAACCTGATAATCAGTTACCAGTGCAACTGAAAAAAACAAGCCCACAACTGAGAGTAAAATGATACATTTGTCATAGAAAGCAACTTGACATTATTTTTCCCCTTGTTCTGAACTCAGTCAGAAGCAGCTTCAAGCCCCAGTTGCTACCTTTCCTAAGGGAAGAAAAACTGTCCCTGAATTATTTAAAGGTTCTGAATATATTGTATATCAAGAGCCTTTAAAATGTTTCTATACCAAGATGTTCAGCTTAACATTTTCTAAAACAGAAAAACATTTCTATGGGCTTCTGGGTCTGTATATACGTTAACAAAGAATATATAAATTTCTCAAGATGTTTGATAGTATTTATGAAAGAAGAAAAAAAATTATACAAAATCACAGAAACAGTAAGCTCTAAGGAATTAATGAAATAATATTCATAACTGAGGTGAGTTACCAAAACTTAATATGTTAAAAATGGTATACTGCATGGTAGAATTGAAGTTTACTCTAATTTCTTGATCTGAATATTTATATATTTCCCATATTTTCCATTCTATATGATAATTACTTAAGTAATTGAGGGAAAAGGGAAGAATGTGTTTTAAAATATTGGAAGAAAGGAATTCAGATATTTGCTTTTTTCTTATCCTTCGTGACTCTGGACTCAAAATTCTTCATAACTTGCTGTGTCATTCATTCATTGTGCTATATTTAGTGTTTCATTTACCTGCCAGTGTATGAAGAGAAAATGTCCAGTGCCACTATTCCTTCAGATTGTGGTCCCAAACTTATTCTGAACTCCTCCAAATGTTCTGCAGGCACGTAAGTTATTCTGGGGAACAAAACACAGTCCATGAAAGCAAAGAGAAACAGAGTTTTGCCTGTTGGGAAAAGCTTCCAAAACACAGAAAAATAAACACATTGTTCCTTCATCTCTACTTATTGATATAGCTCATTTAATTGGCATATTTAATAGATAACCCAAACTTCAAAAGTCAAAGGTTATTCCATGGGCAAAAATAAGTGAAATTAAAAAATTAAATATTACTGATAAACTATGTATTTATTAATAGTCATATGGGAAGGAAAAAACAGCAATATTTATATCTCTAAGTGAGAATGCTAACAGGAAGTTTGTGAAATTAAGAAGTTCCAAAACTCCTTAGAGTGACACAGAATGTGAAAAGCCCTGGGTTTGATACTCAGCATTGTAAGAAAAAACAACTAATACTAAAACATAATTGTCAATAACATTAATTTTTGTCCAAAGATACATGGGTTCCCTGGCAGAAAAAAGTAGATGTACTCTATTAAATACTGAATATCCCACATTACTTTACCTTTTTTCATAATGTGTAATTAATTACAGATATTATCAGCAATTATAATAATTATGTGAGCTCTATTAAATTATCAACTCTCACATCTAAAGTACTGAGCAAAGCCATTTAGTTTAAGGACAGATTTAGCAATTTGTACCAATTTCTTATATGGTTGCTTTTGTTTAAAAGGAAAGCCTATGGCTTACACTTGAAAGGCCATTTATTAACTTAACAAGTACTCACCAAGTGCCTTCCATGTGGAAGGCACTGTACTAGATGCTGAATATAGCCATAATGTTCAGAAATTGACATCCGAAAACAAGTTTACTGCTGTCCTGTAAGGTTATTTACACAGCCAGACAATTTTTAGGCTATTCAAAATCCTCAAATTAATAGTAAGGTAAGAGAAATACAGTATTGAAGTCAGTATGGTATGTGTGCAACTAAAAAAAAAGAATGTATGAAATCTGAATACTATAGAAATCATGAAGACTATTAAATGATCTAGCAGTGATTTATCCATTAAGTCCATAAAACCTCAGCACTGGAGGACAAGGACACAGGATTTTTTCCCCCCACCCCCCACCCCCAAGTTTCCCTCCAACACAGGATTATTTTTTATGCTTCAACAAAATAACAATGATACCATTTATATATTTCTGTAGTGAGGAGGATACATAATTTTAAATATGTTGGTAATTCCATAAAAAGCAGTCACTCACGTCTCCAAAGCCTGGTTACTTGGGTTTGGATTCTGCTACACTATACAAAAATTAGGACTGTGCTCTCTCAGGACATCTCTCCCGATCACAACCCTCACTCCAGACCCCCTGGGAATCTCTCTGTGATACTTTTATCTCAAGAACCAAAAACTGAAGCAGAATACAGAGATCAGTAGTTGTACCACTGGGCACACTGGGCAGAATGAAAGAGTGGCATTCTCATTCTGACGCTACTTAATTTATTCCCCAATAAATTAAATTCACTTCTTTAAAGTGTTACAAGAAATATTGAATTTGCTGTTTGTTATCTCTTCAAAATTAATGGATCAAAAATATGCAATACATTATCTAAGGAAGGATTATAGTTCATACAAAGAAAAGATAATAATAAAACCTAAAATTTGAAAATACTATTTCAGAAAACTGGTATTATTTGGGAAACTCATATAAACAAAACCTTAAGTTAAAGTCAGTAAAAGGAGGGGACAAAGGCAGAACACAAAAGCAAAAATAATAATAATTAGCACAACATATGTAGTTTTTTAACTGATTTGAAAAAGTAAAAATGTTTCTTTCTCAAATAATGTTGAAAATGAGTTTTCCCCTACATTTATTTAAAACTATTTTTCTTTTACAAAAATTAGGGAATGGTGGTTTTACAAATATTTTTCTGGTAGCAGTGAGAAAGAGCAAAGCCGGCAGTTTCCACAGACAGTCCAATGCCGAAAGGCCACCAAAACAGGCGTCCCACAATGCAACAGGACATGCAGAGCAATGCTAACACATGCCTGCCTGCACACGACCACACAGACCTCTAAATCACCAACAGAGAACATCAAAGCTGAGGACAAACTGCATAAGTACACTGAAACAGCTTATTTGAGAGTTGTATTAACAGTTCTTAAACATAAACTAACCTTTGGTTACACATGGAGTAGAAGAAAAAAGAATACCATTAGTGATGCCGAAATGTGACACAGCTATTAATCCAGAGACTGTGCCTGCACATGCAAACAGGATCATTCCCTTGCAAAGGAGCTTGAAAGCTTAGTGGTTGGAAAAAGGACTTCCAAATGAGTTCACAAACATCACTGCAATGTGAAAATGCAACAATCTCATATCTCTGTTGGAATTTATGTTCCTACATAAATGAAGAAAAGAGCCAAAATGTAGACACTGAATCTATATCTGATCTGTCTCTGCATCGGGACATTACAGCAGCACAAAATGATTTTCACAGACAAGCTGAAACACACAACCATAATGAGCTTTTGAATCACCAGTACTCACACATAAAAGGGGGCTCGAGCGTCAGCAGGTGCTGCAGAAAATCTAGAATGTGAAGCATACGCCGCGACATCTTTTTACAATAGTGTTAACAAATGTCAATGTCTTCTGTGGAATGTGAGATGCATACATATGTAGTTAAAAGTGGGTGCTCCTGGTTATTTTATTCCCCCTTTCCACCTCCCTCTCATCTACACCTCCCCCAGAAAAGCATCTGCTCTTTACTGGTGTCTATAGCAGTGATTATTAACAAGCATAGAAAAATGTGACTGCAATCAATCTTTTATTCCTTGATCAGGAATTCATCCCACACTTTAGGTTAAGGCAGGTGAATTCTGATTCAGCTCAGTAATTATCTGGCAGATGTTATAAGCAGCTGTTGCTAAGCGCAAAACCCTGGCTATTATTACAGAAATATAAGAGCTCCTGGCAAGGTGGAGTGAGAAGTGAAATAGAATGCATTTTGGTGAGGCTTCACATCTGGCTTTCCGTAGAAAATAATGAAACCTGGAACTTAAACTGGCTGTTCTTGAACTCCTGAAACTCAAATTATCTATCCAGGCATGCATGAATGCACACAAAGTTCCTAGCTATATATAGCAAATGGCAAGAGAATGCTTTCCCTATAACCAATCTGTAAGGAACTGAATGGAGCATTTTATTTATTTATTTAAAGTCCTTACAGCACATTTCTCCACCACCACCCTACATTGAGTGAGGTTTATAATAAGAAATAAAGAGAAAAGAAAGTGGGCAGAGCTTAGATCTAGGCAATGAGTACAAAGCTTAATTGGCTACAGGCAGTGTTATGACTACATTCAGAATAATGACCAACTAAACTTTCTTTTTGAGAGGATTGCTCACATATTTTTCAAGATAATTTTAAACTGTTTGCCTCATGAAAGGCAAGTGACAGAAACAAGATGTGGTCAAAAATACTTCATGCAAAATATAGACACTATGCTCAGTATAAATGGCTATTTTGTTTCTTTTGTTTCATCAGGTAACACACTTTCTTTCTGAAAAAGCATTATGTAAGGATCATGTTAATTTATTTCTATCATTTCCTCAATGAGTCAGTGTCATCACTTGAATCAGAGCATTAGTGAGACATTTAAGAGGAAATCAATGTATTTTGTGAATGTGTGTGTGTGTGTGTGTGTGTGTGACAGAGAGAGAGAGAGAGAGAGAGAGAGAGAGAGAGATTGACTAGTTGATATCTTGATGAGGAAGTGTTGTAGGAATTTTCTTCTTTTTTAAATGTAAACTTTGACAGTATATTTTGACTCCTGAAATCTTAAAGCAATTAGTTAGGAAGCTAGCTCTTTAGTTATCCTTCAAGAACGTAATGAAGTTGCTGCCCACATGAACAGGTGATTCTGCTGGATCAGCAAGTAGTATGTGAAGGGATACATGCTTTAAGCTTGAAAATACACCTCAAACCTTCTCTAGAATTGAGTAGATGTGTGACTCACGTCAAACTGATGTCACAATAACCAGATTTTGGGGCCACTTTTTAATTTCTGCAGTTTAAGGGTAAGGCTAACATTTAGCACAGATTCTAGTGCTCAGAGTGCCAAAATGTGAACTGGTGATTTCTATCAGTACGCAGAGCATAACACATAGATCATAACAGAACAAATCAAATGTTCAGTTAGAAGGCCATCTGCACTTTATAATACATCTAATCTCTGTAAGCTAAAAGCCCTGCAGTAAATACTCCTACATGAATCTACATCATTCATCTTCTAAACACATCATTTCCTCACAGTGATGAGGAAAGCATTTAAAGTTCCTCCATTTTGGGGCAACAGAGGAACTGACATTTTTAATGATGTTCACTTGTACACTTATCATTGTAAGATAATTAAGGAACAGTCACATGATCTGCTTAACTGCAAAATAAAAGTGAAAAAGACATGCAAAAATATGAAAGCCTATTAGTGAAGATTCTGCTTAAAATAATACCTTTTTTGTATGTAACAGCAGAAAGTACTCCAAGTGGTACATACTTTTTCTGCTTTTTATAGATGGCAAAATGAAAAACAGATTGTAAACATAGCTTTTCTTACCTAAGCTCTAGCAATACATACTTTGTAAAACAACCAGTTACAAAGAATGCCATCAGTAAGATAACATTAATAAAGAAAAGTCCCCCCCCATACTGGTAATCATTGTATAAATTTAAGGTAAGCAATCTTTTCCTGACCTCTTATTTTATGGTTTTATCCCCTATACATTAAACACAAATTTTCAATGATTAATGCTGGAGGAAAAAGCCACATTGATGAGGTGTGACAGTAAAGCCATTAACTGATTTTTTTACATTGGCTCAAGGAATGTTCAGTGACTTAAATACTAAACCACATACATGATGTGCTTTTAGAACATTGTGGGATTACTGGAAATTTTAAGGACTGCCTAACAAAATATCCCAACAAAATATATGAATTATAATCAGATGATACCAAACATACTGGTGAATTCCTTTGGGTCATGAGGTAATTCAAGAAAGAGTAAATTATGGGTCAGATGGCGCAGTTCTAGTCTGTCTTTTTCATGCCTAGCCCTTAAAGTACAAGTGTGGTTCCAGTATTAATACAGGGCAATTAGGAAGGGAATAATTTTTTACATTGAGGCCAATCCAAACTTCTTTAAAGAACCTAGGAGTGGCCCCCTGCACTGTGAGAGACCTATCTCTCACATATGTGTTTATGAGATAACTCTCACAGCTAGGATTCTTACAGACATCATCACTGCAGAAGCACAATTCAAAACACAAAGCAATCATTTTTGCAAAATGTTAACACTGTTACAGTCTTAAAGAGACTACATCCACAATCAAGAACTATTCAGAAATAGTGATTTGCCTTAAATAAATATGTGATAAATTTTGCACATCAAATAGAAATAGATACTGAAAACACATATGAATTAATTAATTTCCCAAGTCAAACAAGAGTCCCAATGATACTTACTTTATATCAGGTCCAATTAGAGAATGTCTTCTCAACATGGCTCGTGCCTGGGCATTGGTTAAGCTGATGGTAGATTCTTCATTAATGGACAAAACGCAGTCCCCGACAGAGATACGGCCGTCTCGGCTAATGGCGCCTCCACGAATAATGCTTCGGACAACCATCCCCGAGCCATCTTTGTTAGCGCTTACTGTCATCCCTACGGGAAAGGAGACGCGCAGCTATGGACGTGACTTTCCAATTCATTTTAACGTAATAATCACTAAGAATTCACAGACAAAGAATTGGAACATTTTTTTCCGTCAATAAAAAAGTTTTCCTAACAAAATATTTTTAAGTAAATTTAATGTGAATGTAAATGTTTGTGAAATTGGCAGGACACAGTGGCACAAGTCTGTAATCCCAGCTCCTGAAGAGGTGGAGAACATTGTTCAAGGCCAGCTGGGGAAAATTAAAAGTTTGTGAGACCACACCTCAAAAGACAAGCTGAGCATGGTACTCTTTCAGAACTCCATCTATTTTCCTACCCATTTTGGTGTCTTTGACATCCCTTTTCTGTTGCTCTCATGCAATTAATTCTCTTTCATTCTTCAATGTCACCTCCTCAAAAAGGTCTGCTCAACATACTCTGTCTGATTTAAAGTTCCCATAATTTTCTACCCTCACCCTATTCCTTCAAGCTATAAATAGCTAGATCTAGGGCAAATGCAGCAATGTGGTTGGATTCTGATCATATGACAAGGGGAGAGCACATACGGGAGATATAAGAATAGGTAGAAAACCCAAAACATGAAAGTGTTTGATGTCCCCACTCCAGAGGAACTAATACAGAAACCTTAAAGCAACAGAGGTTAACATGAGAGAGGGAATCAGGAACCAGTGTAAAGATCAGTTAGAGATGAATCAACATGGGTTGTAACACATTTGTACATGAAAGCAATGCTAGGAGTCTTTCTGTATAGCTATCCTTAACTTAACTAGCAAAAACGCTTTGTCTTCCTTATTATGCTATGCCTTCTCTTCAACAAAATTAGAGATAAGGGCAGAACAGGTTCTGCCTGGAAGTGAGGTGGGGGGGAGGAGGGGAGGGGGAGAAATGACCCAAACAATGTACATACATGAGAATGAATAATAATTTTACAAAATGATATAAAGACCTTGAGATTATGTTTAAAACTTTTGAAAAAACCATGTAAATTCAGTTAAAACAAAGGGCCAAAATTTTCTTCCCCAAAACAAGATTATGTAATTAAACAAGATTAGAAGCAATATAAAGCCATAATAGTATTTATAAAAACTTTCTTTGACAAAAGTTACAAACTCATGTTTAGATTTTTCTATATTATAAAATAAAAACTATCTTTCCAAATATTATTACTAATTATACCATATCAGACATGATATTTCATATATTTTTAAGATTGATCATTATTACATTTTTAGCCCAAATTCTTATGCCTGGATATGGGAAATCCAGGCTCCTGGTATGGTCTTAGGATAGCAAAGAAGTATTACCAAATACATTTAAAATATTCTGTTAGCTCAAAATAATGATTTTAAATGTATTGCTATTAAGAAGACACTTTTACTTGCCATAAAACAAAAGACAAGTTTAGATACTATTTCATCTCAGGTGGTTTTCTTATAAGCAAAGAGGTTGGCTCTGAAATGTTTTAATAGGTACTCTAGTTTGCTCAGGTACAGCTATGCTTTCCACCAAGACGAATCAAACAGCTGTACTATGTGAAAATCAAAACGTGTAACCACAAAACAAAATTTAGCTAAATGGTCCTCACTGGGAATCCAATTCTTCATCTTATTCTAATCAGCACCATGCATTCTACAATAAAGTGAGACATAGATATGAAAATGTCATTATGAGTTTTGGTCAACCTAACTCTGAATTCATTCTTAACAGCACACTGAACTCACTACTTCATCAGCTATTAAGACTGTTAGGTCACATCAACCATACAACCAAGAGGTTGACATAGGTTAGCTCAGCTAATACTTTTCCTTCACTAAATGACAACTTTTGGGTTTAACAACTTGGAAATAACATCTATTAACAGAATTTTGGTTGTAGATTAAAAGATATCTCAATTTTTTTTCTTGGAATAAGTCCAGTTCTGTGAGATTCCATGCACAAAGAATCTGTGTTCCATCACTTCTATCAGGGTGACTTTGGGCAACTGTCTTTACCTCATGTTAGCCCTCAGTTTACTCATCTGTAAAACAGGAATAATAATGCCTACTCTTTAGTGTTATGTAAAAAATTAAGTGAAACACCCAGCACAGCAAGAAAAAGAGAATAAAAGAATTAAGTGAGACATTCCAAAGTACCTGGTGTGAAGTGTTCAATAAAGTGTAGGTGAAAACAAAAAACAAAAGAAAACTTATAGGCTATATTTAAAATGTATCTCTATTCCAGATCAAAGTACACTGCTTTCTAAATGCTAAATATAAATCTTAATTCAGCTTCAAAATGATGCTTGCTATTATGGCAACCAAAATGTACACAGGAACTATACTGAATGTACCACATGGTGTGCAAGAACCAGAGACAGACAAGTTTGAGTCCTGATGCTACCTCTTAAATGCTGAGTACTTTCAGGGAAATTTCAGAGAATATCATTATCAAAGAGAACATAACATCTTCCTTTCCCTTCAGTTTCCCCTAAAAATCTTCATGTTTTCTTTTTGCTTTCAAGTCCTAATATGATAAAATTAGACAATCAACTACAGACCGATCAAAATTCATCATGATTAGACAACTTTAAAAGGTCACTCTATATGCAAGTATACATGTGTGTTTATCTGTATATAACATTTAACAAGAACAACCCACTGGGCATGGTGGTACATGCCTATAATCCCATGGCCTCATGGGAGGCTGAGGCAGGAAGATAACAAGTTCAAGGCCAATCTGGGCTACATAAATAATTCAAGACAAGTCCTATCTGTAAATAAAACAAAACTTAACAAAAACTCAAAAAAAAAGCAATTCATGAAATCAAAACAAGTGCATTACGAAAGCTTTTATAAAAAGCTATCAATTATTAATAATTTTTCCAGTCATCATTATAAAAAGAAACAAATGATCCACAAAGCTAGAAAACTGTAAACTTCATATAGCCCAATAAGGAGAGACTATGAGCCTAAGAAAATGAGTTCAGTGATAGACCCCCTCATAGCATACTCTTCTATCCATGCACAGCTCATTTATGCAGATTTGTCTCTAGATTTCCTATATTATTTATCACATTTTTCTTACTTCAAGTTTCAAAGGCAACACTTTCTCACACTAAAGCTTAACTAAATGCTTTAATGAATCATTTAACGTTTTACACAGATTTTTTTTCCTGATTCCTTTACATTTGATTATTCTAAGTGCTATAGAAATCTGAACACTGACTACCTTGTGTCAAAGGAAATAATAGAGAAATATTCTTATCATGGCATGCTGTCAACTTGAACCCTAAAATGCTAAAGGAATCTCTCACTGGGTACCAGGATATCAAATAGCCGGGGCCAAAGCTACAACTATTGTGGGTATGTAAATTAATTTAAAGAATGGAAAGGAAGCAAAGAAATAAAAAAGTCATTTTCACTTTGATATTACAATGTGGATCATAAAATCATGGTGTTATGATTTCACACATAAATGTTACTCTCAGAAAATAAATGAAAGGGTTCTTTTGTACTTTAGTTCTAAATTAAACTGTTGAAGTGTAAATGGATTTCCAGATGATAGAAAGGAAGGTTACAACTGCCTTTCCCTAATTATTTTCAAGAATTTAATTAACTTCATATATTTTTACATCAAAACTTAAAAACTAAGATGGAAGCAACCTGAGTGCCTATTAACAAATGAAGGGATAAAGAAAATGCAGTGCATATATACAATGGAACTATTTTGTCTCAAAAGGAAGGAATTCTGACACATGCTACTTGAATGAAAGAGATTATGCTAAGTGAAATAAGCTAGTCAAAAACAGCTAAATAATGCATAGTTCTACTTATTTGTTGATCTAGAGTAGTCAAATTCAAAGACAGAAAGTAGAATGGTGGCTTACAGGGGCTTGCTAGGAGGAAAGAATAAGACGATTATTTAATTGATACAGGGTTTCACTTGGGGCAGGTAAAAAAGTTCTGGTGATGAATAGTGGTGATGGTTGCACAACAATGTAACTCTGCTTAATGCTATATAATGTATAATTTAAATGGTTAAAAATAGTCATTTTATGTTATGCACGTATTTTACTAGAATAAAAACAATCTGTATCTGACCTACTAACAGATATACAAGAAAATCCATATAATCATCTCAATAGATGAAGAAAAGATTTGATAAAATTCAACATTGTTTCAATAAACTAAAAATAGGAGATCAATTAAAGTCATTAAATTGTAAAACCATATGTGTTCGAACTATGGCTTTTAGAAGAGCCTCCTCTACTTAAAAAGCTGGACATCGATCTATGATTTGATCCAGCAATACCACTCTTAGGGATATACCCAAAAGACTGTTACTCCAGAGGCACCTGCACATCCATGTTTATTGCGGCACTATTCACAATAGCCAAGTTATGGAAACAGCCTAGATGCCCCACCACTGATGAATGGATTAAGAAAATGTGGTATCTATACACAATGGAATTTTATGCAGCCATGAAGAAGAACGAAATGTTATCATTCGCTGGTAAATGGATGGAATTGGAGAACATCATTCTGAGTGAGGTTAGCCTGGCCCAAAAGACCAAAAATCGTATGTTCTCCCTCATATGTGGACATTAGATCAAGGGCAAACACAGCAAGGGGATTGGACTATGAGCACATGATAAAAGCGAGAGCACACAAGGGTGGGGTGAGGATAGGGAAGACACCTAAAAAACTAGCTAGCATTTGTTGCCCTTAACGCAGAGAAACTAAAGCAGATACCTTAAAGCAACTGAGGCCAATAGGAAAAGGGGAACAGGTACTAGAGAAAAGGTTAGATCAAAAAGAATTAACCTAGAAGGTAACATCCACGCACAGGAAATTAATGTGAGTCAATGCCCTGTATAGCTATCCTTATCTCAACCAGCAAAAACCCTTGTTCCTTCCTATTATTGCTTATACTCTCTTTACAACAAAATTAGAAATAAGGGCAAAATAGTTTCTGCTGGGTATTAGGGGGGGGAAGGGAGGGGGGAGGGGGTGGTAAGGGAGGGGGTGGGGGCAGGGGGGAGAAATGAACCAAGTCTTGTATGCACATATGAATAATAAAAGAAAAATGAAAAAAAAAAAAAGAGCCTCCTACTGCTTCCAATGTAACTCACTAACTTATGCATGAATGATCTTCTTAAAACACATATTCATAGTGTCACACTTCAGTCCTTTGAGGCCCTCTGTCCTGCACATAATTCTGCCCAGCACTTGTCTCCGCTCAGGATTCATTTAGCTTCCCACTCACTCTGCCAGCCATCATGTGTATTTCACCCATACCCAACAGGTTCAGTAACTTTGCTCTTCTCTCTGCCTTAGCTCTAGCAGCTTCCAGCTTTTTCAATTCCTCCACAGTCATAAAAATCTATTCTCTTCAAGACCTAAATCAAACATGTCCTCTTCTCTGAAAACTTCCACAACACCTCCACTCTCAGGATGCAGAGATGGGCTATTCCTTCTTTTCAGCCTTCAATGTTCTATGAGTGTCTATCATAGCATTATAATATTTTAGTGCCTTTAGGATTTCATGTCAATTAGTTTACTCTCTTAAACTCATGTTCCAGTAGGAAAAAAAAGATATATTATGGTATCTATGTACATGCAAATAATATAAAAATAAATGTTTGATAGATGAATGAGAATGGGGTTTCTCAAGTGGGATTTTTCTCTGCTATGAGCTATTTAACAACAAAAATGAGTTCTGTGGCTATTTATATGTGAGAGAGGCTGCATTCCATAATCTCTTCCCATAAATCTATAATACACATTGCAGTGTCAAAGATACTGAGAAGTAATACTAAGAGGAAGTTGTCTTCTTAAGTTTACCAAATGCTGACACCCTTATAACTCCTATTTACATCCTATGAAACTAATATTCTGAGTAAAATGGTTTCAGAAATACTGAGTGGTCTGATGAAATAAATCTGACATGGCTTATATATCTATAATACTTATCTCATAATTAATGAGTTATAAAAAGTTCATAGAATTATATTGTATAGCTATATTTTATACACATATGAAATATTACAACATAGAAATCCTCTGCTAAAATTTTCTTTTTTTATTTTTCATTTATTCATATGTGCATACATTGTTTGGGCCATCTTTCCCCACTGCTCCCCAACCCCTTCCTATCCCCTCCACCCACCTCACTTCCAGGCAGAACCAATTCTGCCCTCTTCTTCAATTTTGTTGAAGAGAAAACATAAGAGATAAGAAAGACATAGCATTTTTATTAACTTGAGATAAAGACAATATACAGAGAGATTCCTAGCGTTGCTTCCATGTACATGTGTATTACAACCCAAACTGGTTCATATCTACCAGACCTCTTCAATACTTCTCAGTCACCTTCCCATAGTGGCCTCTGTCAGTTTAAGATGACTTTATTCATTACTCTACAGTAGGCACATCAAACACTTTCAAGTTTTTGGTTTCCTACCCTATTCCTCCTGTATACGTTCTTCCCTTAGTGTGTGACCCATGTCTAATAATTTAGCTGCTATTGGTAGTACCCAGCCACCTCCAAATAAAACAAAATCTAGGAAACAGAGGCTTGAGTCTCACTCTCCAAGTAAGCACTGTTGGTTTCCTCTGTCAACTCTCAAATTTCACAAGAAAACATACCCCTGCTATAAGGTATCAATGTAAATGGTGCAGGTTGATTACTTCACAGAAGGAACAGGATCTTTGCAGTAGAGCTAACTAGTGTCTTGGGTGCATCGAGGCATCAGAGCAAGTGGTCTATCATCTTGTTCGTAAGTTCAGAGTAGGAGGGACAAGGCTGAGTCACATTAATGCTTAGTTCAGTTAGAGTACAAATGTGCTCTGCCCTGAGAATGTTCACTATTGTAATTAGGGTTTCATTTCCTCAGGAAGTACTCTTTGCTCAATTAAGAGGGCTTTCCGATTATTAACCAGCTGAAACACTTTATGGGTAACAGAGGACTTCAAAATCCTGCCACCTGGGAAGAACTAGTGAATAACTTGTATTTATATTTGGGTAGTGGCACACCTGGATGTCTTTAGTCTTTATTTCAGTGAATGAAAGAAATTAAACACAAACTGACTTGTGTATAATGAGGAACATTCAAAGAAACTAATAATTTACTTTTCCAAAGAATTTAGATTTCGAAATTGCTGACTTTTCATTTTCTAAGAATTCTGATTTTGAATTGCTGTTTCACACACAAATAATTCATATATCTTTTACTTCAATGTAAATGGGTCTTCTGAATATTCTGAAATAATTAAGAGAATGAGGGATGTATGCTAGTATGAAATAAACAAACCTGTGAACCATTTCAGGAAAAATAATGAGTATATAAGAAATACGTTCATAGGTTACCACAGAAACTGTAAGAAAATTTCAAACAAAAGATGAGAGAAGAAAAGAGAGAAAGAATGAAACAAGGAAAAATTCTAACATGTATTATCTACAGCAAAAATGTATTGAAATCTACCATGTGAACATATTTCTCCTTTTCAAGGGGGTAAAGAGAGGAGGGATATCTAGAAAATGAGAAACTTACCTAGACTAGAATTGCCTTTTGCTATAGTAATAGTTCTCTCAAAAGATTCTTTGGACATACTTTGTAGCATGACACACTCGGCATTAGAGACCAGGGAGCTCTGTTCAATTAAGTAATCAGGGCTCTGAAAGAAAGATAAAACAAGTCACATGGAAAGGAAAAACTAGACTTTGGAGTGTGTTTCAACATTCCACACTCTCTAATTAGTTGTGCTTTATTCAGCAAGAACCTATAATCAAATAAGTTCATAGGTTGCCTCATTGTCCTATGAGCACTCATTCCAAATGGATTAGCCAGAACAGTAACTTTTTACTGCCCCCTACCTCTAGGTAACACACAAGATTTATCAATAAAATAGTACCTTTCCACTTGAATCAGGTAGTATAGGAGAAGTGAGTTCAGCACTTGATATAACTTCAGTTGATAACTGAGATTCAGTCCAAGCTATTGTACTTTCACATTCATACTGCTGTTCAATAGCATCTGCAGGTGTATAATCATTTACAGTAAAGCCAGAAGCAGCCCCCATGCTCAGATCTACTGAAGGTAGATTGCCATCTTGTCTTTGCAGGAGATTTTGAGCATAGAGCTCTTCCAACGACACATGCAAATCAAGTACTGCATGAGAATCCTCAGTAACATCCTGATGGATAAGGAATAAAAAAGTCAAAACTGTTACTACAATCATATCGGCTTATTTTGTAAAACCACTTCTTAATGAACTACTATTTAGCAAAAAATAAAACACAATTTTTCATTACGTTAAAAGCATTAACAAATGTGTAAGTTCTTCACTTAGCAGATTGTTTGCCTATTTTTATTTTCACAAATGGCTTGAGTATACTTCCTGCAAATTACATAGGTCATGTTCTACTGAGTTATACTTGTACAATATAACATCATTTTAATACAATATAAGTTCTATCCATAAATAAAATTGTTCTGAGCTCAAACTATGTAGAGAAACAAGTAACTTATATTTCAAATCACACTTAAAGATTATTTATTTATTTATTTTAGTGTTGGGCTGGGAGCGGGTATATTGTGGCACTTATAAATGTTCTTACAATATATCAAATATATCATACTTGAATTACTTCCTTCCATCATTCTCCTTTATTCCCCCCTTCCTCCATTCCTGGAATAGTTTCAACAGGTATTTGGTAGACATTTAATAGTCTTTATGGAGAAAAACATGAGCCTTTCAAGTGAGATTACCAAAGGGAGCAATTTATACAAATATTCTACAAGATATAACAGAAAGAATATTAAATTGGGGTGTCAAAAATGTAGATTCTAATCTAGGATCTGTTATTAACAATCTGTATGTCACAGAACATCTTTTGGCTAAATTTCTACAAGGTCCTGAAATGCTAAAATTATACACTACTATGTAACCACATGTATCTATTTACAAAAGACATACTGTATTACTTCTATGCTTTGGGCTAGCAGTTGCTTCACTGGCTATCAGGTTTTCCTTCAATTCTTTTATCTATATTTTTGTTTTGTTTGTGGTGCTCAGGATTGAACCCAGGACTTCATGTAAGCACTCTACCACTGAGCTACATCCCTGGCCCTATTAATATTTTAAAAGCACAAAAACTGAAAATACATTCCCATATAAACACTGTGTATGCATACAGAGTATAATATGAAAGACTTTCCTCATAGCTCTTAGGTCCATTCCCTTACCCAGTACAAACAGCTGGCTTTGGTTAGGTGTTTAATCCATCAAATTATCATGCATTTGTATAATATATACATACAAGTAAAGATATGCACACATGCAAATTGATATATATATTTTTAAACCTAAACAGAATCATACATTAAGTGATTTTTTTTGCTGTTTTGGACAATCTCTTCATATCTCAGTGTAAGATATTTCTATCTCAGTGTTAATCTTATGGCTAGAAATCATTCCTAAGTATGACAGGCACTGGAGTACAGGTACTATTGAGGCAGGCTACTTGAGTTCAAATTCTGGCTCACAGCTGGTTAAATGAACTTTGGCAAATAACTTGACATACTGTATCCATGCTGTGCCCAGTTTCCCTCACACCTATATTGGAGGAAATAAGGGAACCTAATATAGGACTCTTTTGAGAACAAGCAGAGTTAATGCTCATACAGCACTAAAAGCTGAACTGACTTATCAAGAAATGCTCAATAACTGTTAGCTACAGCAACTGTATTATACAACTTTGTGTACATGTGTAAAAATGTATTTGCCATAAACTACTAGAATTGGAGTGGTATGAATATTAAATGATACAAACACTAAAATGTTAATATATGTTGCCAAACTGTCTTCCAGTTTTCCCAAAAAGAGAGAGAGAGAGACTGTGGGAATAGTTACTAACTAATCTTCACAATCTTCTATTAGCTAGGTAATCTGATCTGTATGACATATATTCAGCAGTTTTACTCTGCATATTCCTCACAATTCATAACGATGTGCAATTTGTGTACTTTCCATGCACAGTCTCTTGTTATACTTCATCTGGATTGCTCAATCTTCTCATTGACCTATTCTGAATATAAAGTCTTCATGACATACTGCAAAGATTTTCCCAGTCTGTCACTTGTATTTGTTAATGTTAATATTTTCTCTTGCACCAGTTAAATTCTTTATGCAATGAAAATTGTCATCTTTTGTGCTTCTAGGTTTTATTATTGCTTTATAAATCCTTCCTCCTCACAAAGTAAATAAAATGCTTCCTAGTATTATTCTTCTGTTTTATAATTTGTTTTTAGATTTCAGCCATCTAGAATGTATTTCAGATATGGTATGAGATATGGGTCTCTTTCCATTTCTTTTAAGGGAGTAATTTAACTGGCCCAAAATAATTTATTACACTTATTCTTCAATGCAAATTATATATTCTCTGAAATCATCAAATATTCATGGCAACAGAAAGGGTGCTGTGGGTCCTTCAAACAAGTGACTAACCCATTTAGTACTTTCAGAAACAAGTAACAACAAAGTAACATCCTCCACACTCCCATAATCTGAACAGTAACCTGTTGGCTCATTTGCTGAACTTTATTTTATTCTTATGAAATATAATAATGTACTTAGAAAAGGAATCGTAAGTTTCAATATTACTAAATTCAAAATTATCAGAAAAGCATCTCACTCATGCCCTAAAGAAAGATAATCAACACTGCTTTTCTTTTTTTTTTCTTTTATTATTCATATGTGCATACAAGGCTTGGGTCATTTTTCCCCCCTGCCCCCACCCCCTCCCTTACCACCCACTCCATCCCCTCCCTCTCCCCCCAACCCCCTCAATACCCGGCAGAAACTATTTTGCCCTTATCTCTAATTTTGTTGAAGAGAGAGTATAAGCAATAATAGGAAGGAACAAGGGTTTTTGCTGGTTGAGATAAGGATAGCTATACAGGGCATTGACTCACATTGATTTCCTGTGCGTGGGTCAACACTGCTTTTCATGAGAAAAAGAGGTCAACGCACCCATTAGCTGGGGTTTACTGAAAATTGTATAACAGAAACTTCTATGCATTATTCATGAAAGAGTTTTCACAGACACATAGAAAAGAAACAGCTAATCAACAGAGTAAATAACATATGCCCACTTAAAAATCATTTCTGGTTGCTGAACAACCAACTGAGTTTTATTTTTTAAATTCTTATGGATCTAGAAGAAAAACAGCTCTTGCCCCCCACAAGATGTCTAGAAATAACCCTACAAATTTTCAGGGCAAACTTTGTATCTAAACTGAGGTCTTTCAAAAATCCATATTAGTATGTGTCTCTAGTTGTTAACCGTCTTGTTCTCAGGGAAAAAAAATGGGAGAGTAGATAAATTAAAATGCCAAATACACTTGAAGAAAAGCTCTATTTCTTAAGTGTAAAGCATAATTTAAGGTTACATCCAAAAACATTTTTATGTGGATAATAAATTTATGTAGTCTAGCTAAATACTTAAATATTCAATAGCCACAACCTGCTTTCCTTCAGTAAGCAGTCTACCAGATAATTCCTATTAAACTCTTAAAATAATTACTGCAAGCACAGCTGCTGCACTTATTGTCATTCTCCCACTCTTTTTTTTCGGTAAGGTAGCACTTCCCTTTTTATTAATACACCATTCCTACTGTGGTAAAGGGCGGTATCTTTTACACTTGTGAGAGCCTGAAATTTAGTCACTAACACTTTTATTATAATCACTTTTATCATTCTGAGTAGAGTGATTTGATTAGTTTTTTAATCTAACCTGCCTCCAAAAACCATTTTGAAACAGAACCAACATTTGAAATATGCATGTGGAGGCAGGCAGTAATATTTTATACTAGAAAATAACACTAAGTCGAGATTTGGAGGAAAATTCAAACCCCATTAACTGCATTTGAAAGAAAGATCCGTATCTTGAAAAATATAACTTTGACCTCCACTTGAATTAACAGCATTTCCTGGCTGAACCAATATTCAGGAATGAAGGATGTGTACCACATTGGTAACAATTTCACTCCTGGTGAGAAACTGAGAATGTGGATATAATAGGAGGGCATGGAGTGGGAGCAGAGAAAAGGAATATAAGGAAAGACTTAACATACAGCTATTAAATCTTTATTAGCAGTATTTTCAAATCAAAATCCAAAAAAAAAAAAAAAAAACCAAGCAAGCATCTTCTCCATCTTCTCAGAAAGCATGTTGAGCTTTTAAGCAAAAGTCTATGAACATTTATGTTTGGGAAAACATCACTGCATTTTTAAAGGAACAAAAAAAGGGGGGGTAAAAAGATTACTAAAAAAAAATTAAAACCTCAACCAACAAGAAAGGAAAAACCACTGGTCATAGCCATGCTGTCTTTAAAATGTACCCCTTCTTTTTGGAGTATTTTGAGACAGGATTGTGCTATATAGCCCAAGCTGACCTCGATCTTGCAATCCTCCTGCCTTAGCCTCCCGAGAGCTGGGATTACAGATGAGCACCACCATGGCTGGCTAAAAATGAACATTTTGATGACCTGCCTCTAAATAATTTAAATGTCATGGAAGTGGGTATATTTAAATTCTCAAATGATAATTAATCAAAGTAAGCAAATACATATTACTTTTAAAAAAAAAAAGCATAATGGGCCCCCAATGGGAGATGTTCGTTAACAGGAGTACCAATTTATGGCTATAGCCCTTTGGTGCTTAAACTGCTGCTCAGCCCTAAATTCTGCTCTGAAGGGCATCACTTCCCTGGAGGGCAAGTCCATATTCCATGTTTAGCTCTTAAGATATATGTGACCAAGGAAGGAAGCCTTCTCATCAAGGAGAAGAGATGGGTAAGATTACACATCCATTTCCCATCATCATTTAGCAAAGTCAAAAATCAGAGAAAATACCGAGGTCTTCATACTCTATTTTAACCTCTTTTAATTGTTATGGAGGCATCTTTGTATTTCTTAAACATCCACATACCTTTTATGGTTATTTAGTGTATACAGTTATACATATTTAAATAGCCATATATACTATATTCTTATGTTTTATTAATTTTTAAGAAAAATAGTCCATTTTAAATTCCATAACAAATCTTTTAAGATCAATTTAGTGCAAATAAACAGGAAGAATGTATATATAATGTTTTATTTACATAAATTTTTCCAGGAAAAATCTATGTACTTAAAAGATACAGCCAACAAAAAACAAACAAAACAGAAAACAAAAAATAACCCTTAGAGTTGTAGAGGTTTACCACGAGGCAGGACAGGTTTACTTTCTAAGAAAATCAGAAGCACACAGGAATTTCACAATGTGCTTAAGAACATCCTCATTAATGTTTTCTTTGTTGTTTCATAGTTTAAATATTTCAATTGTTAGGTCAGCTTGCCAAAATTTGCTTCAACAAAAGAGTAAAGTGCTCAGGGAAAAAAGAAAAGAAGGCAAGGTAAACAGACTTCAGCAAGCCAATATGTTGTGCTGCACACAGCCAGCAGTTGCCCTGTAAAGTACATGCTTCTCAGTATGCAGACTGTGTAATCCCTTTAAGTAACAATTACTAAGTTAAACAATGCAATCTGTCCCACTGGCAAGAAGTGTGCTATGCCATGGATTAGGAGATCCCATTAGGAGATGAACTCAGCTTCCAGCCCTGAGGCCAGTAAAGGATGAACACTTTCCAGACAGAATGCAGCCAGACAGTCAGTCTCAGGTGTGCTAAGAGGGGAGCAGCTGCTCCACTCAAGATTATACTTTGCAAACCAATTCAAGGAGATTGCCCAGCATCATTTGCAAGGATAACAGGTGCACCTCAAACACAAAAGAGAATGCTTTGAAAATGTTCTGGCCAAAAAAAATACTTGTTAATCAGGAAAAGAGAACTGTGCTAGATCTATGGAAATGCTACCTTCCAGTTTATTCATAAGTGAGATCCCTTCCCACTAATTCAACTTATGTAGAAAATACTGTATCAAAATTTAAGAAAACATTATTGTCCAGTTTCTTTATCTTAATATTTATGGTATATTTTCAACAAAGAAATTAAAGAAAAATAAAAGTCCATGTATGAAATCTTTGCCTATATTTAATAGATACATTTTTCCTTATTTTCAATTGCTCTTTTTTCTAAAACAACATGTTATAGATGCATTAAATTCCCATGCTTCCTTTTTCTCCACAGATAACTTCTTTCCGGAAGTTGAACTGTATCACAACACACATTTTTAGATTTTTAAATAAACACACACACATACACATAAAAATATATTAAATTATTTTATATATCAATTTGCTGAAAATACAAGTGACTCCAACAAATAAACAATAAGGAGTCAATTTAAAAATGACCAAAATATATGAAGAGATCATTGATAAAAAGTGAAAACAAATGGCTAATATATGGAAAAGCATTCAAACTCAAGAGTAGTCAGAAAATCCAAATTAAAATATGTAATATAATTTGGCACTTACAGTATTGGGAAATTGCAAAATATTATTTATTGAGCATTACAGAGTATGTCACCAAGAGATTAATACAGTTAGGGCATTTATGGCAATAGTCTATGTCCAAAATACAGCTGGTACAAACATGTGAAATAGTAACTAAGCTCTTCATTTGTATCTATTGACAAAAACACACTTTGCTATGCACTGTGATTTTTATGTATGCTTTCTTATCATTTTATAAAAAGTATAGCATGAAGTTTAAATTACCTAGTAAATGCTAAATTAATGCAAGAAATATTTTACTATCCACTTTTGCCTGTTAGTTTTTTAAAAGCCTATTTTAATATTATTTGTATAATACTTCCAAAGAAGATACTGCTGAAAATGACTTCTGAAGTCTTTCTGACATGAACATCATAATTAAAGTTTTGAATCCTTGTGTCTAATATTCTGTCTTACAGACACAATAGTCTCTAATAGTCTAAAAGATATTCAGCCAACACTAGCTAAATGAAATTGTACTTTAATATGATAGTGAATCCATGAGTGGAAAAACATATCTCTAATATGCTACTCTTACAACTCCTCATAAAGGCTGACTTCTGGAACATTACACACCATTTTCCCATAAATTAAATGGAATTTTCTTTGTACCTTGTGAGGAGAGGATGGCAGGGAAGGACCATAGTTCAGGCCATCACTACAAGCACTGCTGTGAAGAGACAGAACAGAGGCTTGGGTGGAATAGACACTGTCACTGTCTGGAGAGAACTGAGACTCAAATGTGGATTCATCTACTAATTCAGCCTCAGGTGTATCCACCTAGGAATAAAGTAATACCAATTGATAATTGTATTCTGTCACATATATCATATTCACCACTCGAAACTAAACACTGGTATCATTCTTCTGTCCATCCATTCTCTGCATGTGTCCTCTCCACCCTCTTCAACACAGCAGAGACTGACTAATGCAGCAGCACCGGATGAACTGTTCATCCACAGAAGAAGGTGCTGGAGAGAAGGCTATTTTACTCCAACAATACAAGAGCTAAAAGTAACAATTAACAAAGGCCTGGTTCAATTTTAAATAGTTTTGTGAGTTAAGGAAAGTATTTACTTGTTGTAGTTCACATGACCAACTCGTGTGGTTTTATAATAAAATGAAAAAGGTTGCCACTTTTCGAATTCAAATAAAGGCAGGCATGCAATTGATCTATTTACTTAAATTATCTTTAATTAGATTTTAAAACCACACAAATTGTAAAAACTAAAGAGAAAATCTGTGATTTCATGTTAAAATTATACTAACAAATAAGGGGCCTAATTATGATCTAAAGCTCTAAAGTTACAAGTTATAAACTTCTGTTAGAAAATTCCTATAGAGTGATGGGCTGGGGCACAGTTCAAGTGGTAGAGAGCGTGCCTAGCAAGTATGAGGCCCTGAGTTCAATCTTCAGCACTGCAAAAAAAGAAAATTCATGTAGAATGATACAGAGACATGCACCACATGTTATCTAAAAATCCTACAACTATCATTTGTGGCAGACCAAACAAAAAGAAATAAGCCATCTTGACTTTTGACACTTGTAATTCCCTCATTATCATACCTCAGAAGAGGTAGAACTGGCACTTCTCTGACGCCAGCATTTTCTAGTTATCTTGATGGCGAAGTCCCATATATTCTCCTTCTTTATTAGTTCAACTTACATGTTTAGGGGAAGTTATATCTTCAAATTCACTAGTGAGGTACTAGGTGGAGGATTATATTTACAAATGTATACTATGTATAACAATCTGGATAACAAATACTTAGCATTTGCTATCTAGGCAGATAATGTTAATTAAGCCTTATGCTAGATTATAATAGACAAATATTTAAGTAACATTATAGAAAAAAATACCTCAATATTGCTGATACTTTAAAATCCTAGGAGAGAGACTAATCTCCAATTTGCTCAATTACCATAGAGATAAAACTCTAGGTCCCAGAGAAGTTGAGGGACCAGTCCAATATAACATAGCTGGTTAGAGAGGATGAGGATCCCTATGACTACTATAAGATATGAAGCTTCCAAAAAGGTGGACCTAACCTTCTTTTTGATTGGCACTCATTTAAGGAGGTTTAATGAAGCAATATAGATTCCAGAGAGATTACTGTTTCTTGGGGTACTTCAGAGATAACGATCTATTTGTGTCCTGTGACATTTCAAAAACAATCTGTTATGAATGGGTACTACTTAACACCACAGTTCCTTACATAGTTTATCGCGTTCTAAATTATAATGCCCGTGGAGAGCAGGGCCAAAAGTTACCTAGTATGCTAAGTATCAGAATGTGAAATTATTCCACTTACTATAAATTCATCAAAATTTTCCAAACAGCTATTTTAAGAGCTTGCAACTTAAAAATATTAACAGAAAGAATTATTCCCACCCACTTCTCAAAAAATTAGGATTATCAAAATAGAGTCAAAGAAATAATTCATACTCGGGTTTAAAGCAAGGTGTGCACAATGAGTTTCTAAGATAAACAGAGCAAAGAATATAGGAAGACTTCTTCAGAATATTTTGAAAGGCAGAGAGATAGACAAGTATTTGAAAATCAAGCTTGGTAAGTTGTAGCCACTAACCAGAGCCAAGTCTGCCCTGAAGAGGGCTTTGCCAGCCAGCCCTTGCTCCTCGCAGGGGTGAGGTGTGGAGAGAAAGGAATCCTCCTTAGCAGAAACATAACCTTCTTCTGGTGAAAGCTGCAGGAGAATGGTGGTTGAGATCAGTTCATGAGAAAGAGGGACAACAGCAAAAAGGGATAGAAAGGAAGGGGAAGAGGAAGAGAAGTGAAGGGAGAGGAAAAAAATAAAGTTTTCAAATGATGATTTTAACATAGAATGTCAAGTATGAAATTTGATAAACATCCACATTAAATATTTTACTTAAAAAGATGCAAAGAAGATAATTATTCAGTATAAGCATCATCTGTTAGATGAAATTTTTTTCTATTATTTTTTCATTCTTCTTGTAAAAGATTATTGAAATCAACAATTTTAATTATAATAATCATCTGGTCATTTTTTTTTATGGGCCAAACATTCTGGCCAAACAATGAAAGGCAAAGTTTAGATATTAAGACTTGTAAAAAGAAGCAAAAGACTAAAACATTAAAAAAAAGGATCGATTCTCTCCTGTATTATAAGATTATTTTAAAGAATACAATTTACTTCTCATCCCTTTTTAGAACATTATTTAAAGAAAACAATTTACTTTATATGGAATGTTACGAACCCTACAGTGAAGGTTCTTAATTTAGCATGGTTTATAAGACAAAATCAAACAAAACTACACAAGTGCACAGTCTGGGGAAATTGCAGTTCTGAGTTATTACATTGTAACCATGTTCACACTGAATGAAACAAATTAACATTTTAATTCTAGTCTTTGATAAAAGGGGTTAAAATATTTAGAAAACTGTTTTTCCTCCATCACTCCATATTGACAATGCAAATAAGTATTACAGGGAAAACTGGGTTTCTTCTTTCCCCATACATGTAAGTTTAAAATTTATTAAGCTTCACTTTAGGCAACAGTGAGATTCATCATACATTTAATGCATACTGAATTTGAAATATCAAATATTGTATCAAAAAATTATTTTAAGCTGGGTACAGTGGCTCATGACTGTAATCCTAGTTACTCAGGAAGCAAAGACAAGAAGGATCACAGATAGGGGACAGACTGGGCAAAAAAATTCATGAGATTCCCATCTCAGCCAATAAAACGTAAGCGTGGTGACCCATACCTGTCATTCCAGTTATGCAGAAAGAATAAATAGGAGGATTGCAGTCCAGATTGTCCAGGGCATAAATGTGAGACACTTTTCAAAAAATACCTAAAGCAAAAAGGGCTGGGGGTATGGATCAAGTGGTAGAGCACCTGCCTAGCAAGCACAAGGCCCTGAGTTCAAACACTAGTACTACCATTAAAACAAATTATTTTGTAACTAGCTAGAAAAGAGATGAAAAGAGATGATTCTGTTTCTAAATTACTGGTAGGGTTTCTCCTTAAGGCCAGTGAAAAGTACATACTGAGTTATGTTTGCCATTTCTCTTTTCTAACAGAAACACCAGAGCCAAATTTATGGTCCAACCTAAATAACTATGCAGAGTCCCATGACGGTCCATTCTCATTCCTGTACCCCCTCTGTGTAGGTCTTTTCTTATGATTTTGATTGTACTGGTTTGATTTCAGGCTGAAATACCACATTCCCGTTGCTCTCTTCTCATCTTTATTTTTTCATAAATATATTTTACAGGTTACAGAAATTCTCTGTGGACTAAAATTGGGACATGGAATATATTTAATGTAACACTTAAAATGTTAAAAAAGTTTACTATTTGAACAAATTCACAAAAATCCTTATTGCTATTTACACAAATATATCTGTACCTTTTCATTTTCTTAAGGAAAAGAGTATTTGCCCTTTCACTTAACACTGTATTTATACTCTGGGAAAAAACCCCACAAACCTTGACAATGTCTCTCATATTTAATTGCAAACTGCAGTAAGTGCCATGTTAGAATCACTACACCTAATAAAGCATTCTGCATATAGTGTCTGGGGGCTGTTCCTTCCTTTGGGGGGAGCCACAAATGTATGAACCCATCTTGCAATATTCAATTTCCAGCTCTGTAGTAATTAAACAAAAATGTGTTGAAGTCAACCTAATTTGGGTACATAAACCATTATGTCAGATTTTCTAATTTATTCCACTGTGATTAAAGACTATCAATTGTTAGTTGATAGTGCTAATAATTTTATTTTGGGGAGTAATGAGGCTTGAACTTGGGGTCCCTGTGCTTGTCAGACAAGTGCTTGACCACTTGAGCCATGCCCTTGATCCATTTTGAATTAGTTATTTTTTGATGGGTTCTCACATTTTTGCCTCAGAAAGCCTGGACCACAATCATCCTATTTATGCCACATCGCTTGACTTACAGGTGTGTGCCACCATGCCTGGCTTATCAGTTTTGCTAACTTTTTGCCTGGGCCGACCTCAAACTGCAATCCTCCTCATCTCTGGATCCCAAGTAGTTAGGTTTACTGGCACATGCCACCACGTCTAGCCATTGCTAATACTTTTGAATGTCCCATTACATGAAATATTAATATATGAATCCATATTTCTTTGAAGTATCTGCATTCATTATAATCAAAATAATGAATTTTAAAAAAGGGTCAAAAGTTATATATTTATCTCTGGACATTCTGACTGTTTTCTTTCCTTTAGTCTCTTAAAAATAGGATCCAAAATTGAATCTTTATATTCATGCAGCTAATAACCATGTTGATGAAAACTGCTGCAAGTGATAACTCAAACATGAAAAACAACTGAAGCTAAAAGAGAGTCTGAAGAGCCATTCTGCTTGCAAATATGAAAAAAATCAACAAAATCCACACACTTACAGGTAAAGGTTTGGCCACTCCTATTCTCACAGCTCCTGATGGGGCTCCCTTCAGTGCTTGCACTGCCTCTTCCAGACTGCTGTTTTCCAAGTCAATGTCATTGACAAACATCAGACGATCTCCAGGAAGCAGTCGTCCATCCTTCTCAGCAATGCCACCGGGCACCAAAGAGCGAATTACAATCACAGTGCTTGCTGGGTCAACTGGATCCTGACAGAATGGGAAAGGAAAGAAAACTCAGCTCATTTAGACACAGAAAAATTTATATGGGTTGTTTCCTCTGCTTCATAATAACAGACAGTAATAATTTCATAAGTACCTTTAAAATTTTCATATAAAATTTCAAATGACAAAAGTACATTGTATGCATGTATAGAAATGTCATGATGAAACCCTTATATATATACATATAATGCTCCAATAAGGAGCATTTTTTAAATTTCTAATAAATATCTGGGCAAAGGTTATCTCCATTTCAGTTTAGAGAGTTTATAACAATTTCATCTAAAACGAGTACCCTCAATTGCTAACACTGCTGAGTAGGTCTCTTAAATTGCATAGATACCTTTGAAATTATATTTTAATTATTGATAAGTTCTTAAACTTTATAAGTATCATTTGAGGCTGGATGCCAAGTATATTAACTAAAGCGCATTTTTCAAGTACTGAAGGTAGGACCTGTCCTTTTGAAATGAAGAAGTAAATAAAAAGCCCACGTGGCATATAGCAATGCCACATTTTCAGTTACAAAGCAACCTTGACATTAGAACAAAGCTCCAGAACTGGCCTAGGAACACAACTCCCTGATGTCATCCGAGATGGCTTTCCATTCAGTATTAATAGGAATGACAACCACATTCTATCAGATAGCCTTCTGCATTTCCTTATTTATGAAGCACAAAATGCAATGCAGGTGCAGGTGCAGGCTGTGCTTGACCAATCAATGTAAACATATTCATAATTCAGTAAAATGACTGAAACACCCAAATTTATAATGTATCTAATTACGAATTTATCATTCACATTACACAAAAGAAATATCTAATACTTCATGACTTAACCATTAAAATATGAGCCACCAATTAAGAGCACAGAAATGAAAACAACACTATTCCAAACAAAAAAACTGTGATATTCCTAAAATGTATTTGGCATATGCTTCAAACTGCTAAGAGCTGAAATATACAATAGCTCAATGAATTCATTATTAGAACTCTTATGATAATCAATGAATCATATAATTACTGTTTTGAAAGACTGACTAGAAATAAGAAAATGTCTTTGCTGACTCTAAAATATTTTCCTTTTGTCTACTAGCAGCAATCTAGTTTCAGTATAAGGCATCTTTTTAAAAAACTGTTAAAAATAGGATATCGTTACCTGATAATCTAAAATGCTAAAACCAAGGCCTCTGCTCCCTTTCTCCAGCTCTATGTACTGAATGCCAGCCTCCCACATGGCCAAGGGTGCTTGAACCTCCTCCACATTTTGACCCACTTCAGTCATCGCCAGCACTGGATCCTCTGTCTCTGAGGACCCGATGAACTCACCTAGATCTACATGTGGCTGGATAACAGATAAGACATCTCTTATTTCAAAGGAACTAGAGTAGCAGACACACATACCAACATTGCAAGGAAAAGGGAGCATCCCAGCATCTGTCCAGAACAAAACATTTACAAATAAGCAACAGCTATCATGGCATCTTTATGAATTAAGGCATTATTGTTGAACATTGTTAAAGAGGAAGAAATGCCTATGGTATAACAGGCATTAAAAATAAGAGATTCAAAGGTCTACTCATTTACTCAATGCTTATACCTCAGAAGCAAAACTGTGAGTGGTTTGTACTTTTTTTCATCATTATCCATAGTCAGAACCAACCTCTACAGTCAAAACTCTATTTTGTTATTAAGTATATAGAATTTAGGAAATTATAATTTCAAAGCATGTTTCAAGCATGAACAATTCAAGAGAAAATGGGTAGGTGTAAAAGTTTAGTACTCTTTGCACATAAGCATGGTAAAATGCTGTGACGTGTGCACATAATTATTTCATTAGTACATGATAAAACATCATATTTATAATGTGGAAAGACCTTAGATTTGAAATCAGACAGCTTGAGCTTGAAGTTTGACTATTTCTTACCTGTGTTACTTTGAGCAATAGTCTTAACATGGGCTTCACAGTTACTCATTTCATAAAATTTTTTAAGGACTAACTGAAGTAGCATTTATAAAATACCTGACACAGAAACTGGGATTGAAAATGGAATTCTTTCAATAAAATTAAAGTGAAGAAAGGTTAATTCAACTTCATTCATCAATGTGAATATATAAAATTTAACACAGCTGTGTTGCACAGGAGAAAATTCTAGTTTGAATAATATCTTTATTTTAATCAATTACTGCATTACCTAAGACCAAGGTTACAAATCTCTTCACCTGATTTATTGTAATTATTCTATTTATGCCACACAAAATATGCATGGATATATATATATATATATATATATATAGAGAGAGAGAGAGAGAGAGAGAGAGAGAGAGAGAGCGAGAGAGAGAAAGTGAGACAGAGACAGAGACAGAGAAATGATGGTGGCCTTGTAGTAGAACACAATTTGGAATTGTATTTCTTGTTCTACCTATTCTAATCACTCAGGTGAATATTAAACTATGCATTTTATTCTTCAGATCCTACAAAATTATTCCATTGAAATGATTTCTTCAATATAATGTAAGTCAAACCTCAACTTCACCTGTAATTATATCTTAAATGAGATTTGATTAGACTACAAGTTATACAGTCCAAATACTAACTTTAGATATGGATTATGTATCCTCCAAAAAAAAAAAAAACAAACAAACAAAACTGATTAGCTCTATTGCTTGACTTTGACCTAAATGGACAAGAGTAAGGACCAGGAAAATGGGAGTTCTTAAGATATCACAGAGAATTATTTGACATGTAGTATGTGCTCAAATTTCTTATATAATCAAAGTAAAATGTGCAATTAAGTTGTCCTATAGACAATGAAGTAGTATGCCCATCCATATTCCAGCTATTCACTAAGTAGTAACTATATGCCAGGCACATAGTTGGGTGGTGTACATAAAAGTATCTTTTTCCATATGTGTGCTATATACATACTATTTACATATATCTGTTTTCTCTTCTGGAAATGAGGACAATCCAAGTGTCTATTTAATAGGAATATTATAAGTGATTATAAAAGTACATAGTGTACAGTAATATCTAATATTATTATTATAACCTTCAGAACAACCCTCTGGGACAGGCATCATGACTTACACTTTATAGAAAAGAAAACAAGTTTAAAAAGATGAAATGTAGGCAGGTATGATGGCTCATACCTATGATCCCAGCTACTTAGGAAGCTAATTCAGAGAACTAAGATTTGAGGCCAGCCTGGGAAAAAAGTTAGCAAGATCCCATCTCAACCAATAAGTTAGGCAGGCGTAGTCGTGTGCACCTTTCACCCCAGATATGCAGGAAGCATAGATAGGAGGATCATGCTCTAGGTCACCCTAGGCACAAATGTGAGACCCTATGTGAAAAATAACCAAGGCAAAAAGGAGTTGTGTGGGTCATGGTTCAAGTGGTAGGTCACCTGCCTAGCTAGTGCAAGGCCCTGAGTTCAAACTCCAGTACCACACACACAAAAAAAATAAAAGATGAAGTGACTTGTCTAAGATCACACAGTAGGTGTAAAGTCTGATTCACACCCAGGTCTGTCTGACTTCCAGGTCTATTCCAAGAGCCAAAAGACATGTGAAGAAATCAAATATCAAAGAAAAGGAAAAAAATGGGTTAAAATTTTAACACCGTTTAGCCTTTCCACTGTACTTCAGATTAGCCCGTCTGCAAATCTGATACCTTTTCCGTTAGCTCAATGTCACTAAAGTCCAGGCCATCCAATTCTGACTGGGGGGTTGGTGGCACAGTTCGACGACAGCACACCATTGTCACTTCTATAGGCAATTCTTTTAAAACATTGACCACATCTTGGTGATTTTCCCCAAGCAAAGTTATGCCGTTCACCTGTAGAAAAAGATTTACTGTCCAAGTAAGGAAACAATGTTTTATCATTTTCTTCACACATATTCTTCTTCAAACAATTTTACTGCATAATATAAATTTTACTATGGTGATGACATAGTAATGCTGTGTCAAGAACTATAGTTAGACCAGTGATAGAACTAAGGCAATTTACGTGCAAATTTAGAGTTTTGCTGTAATGAGAATCTAAAGTAGTCATAGAAAAACCACCAGCTTTCATCCATGTTTGCCCTGCCAATGTAGGATTTAGGAAAGGACTGTCAATTAAATATTCCCAAAGGATGAAGGAGAAAAGGAGATTGTAAACAACAGACATGTGATATAATTTACTGAGTGAAAAAAGTAGAAAATGGCATAAACTGTACACAGTATGTATTTAAAATTGGGGGAAAAGAAATATCAAGCTTTCCTATTTATACATTTAAAAATATTGGCAGATTGCAAAGAAACATACAAATCAAACATCCATCCAATGAAGGGTGATGAGAACTAGGTGGGTGGGGACAGGAAGGAGATTGCACTGTTTATCTTTGTATTCTCTATAGAACATGTGGATGCATTACTTATTCTAATAAAATTATGTTCGGAATTTTTCAAGGAAAGCTTTCCAAATAGTCTGTATCGAAAACAAAACAAACAAAAAGCCAATATGGAATTAGTTCGGAAATTCAGTATGTATATACAGATTTGAAAATTCTGCTTTGGTGAGTTTTTATTTGTAGCTATCTCTCAAGTACCACTGGAAGAGATATTTAAAATAAGAACTTAGTTGTTTACCACAATAAGCCTCCTGCAGCCTTTCAAGAGCCTTATTTAAGGAGGAGAAAGAAAAGTGTGGCTCCTTACTTCCAATAGCTCATCTCCACTGAAGAGCTTCCCACTGTGTCCAACAGGACCTTCTGGTAGAACAGATCGGATGAAATGATGTCCCACTGTTGCTTCCAGACTTATCCCTAACCCACTGTTCTCGCTAAACTTGCTTACATGGGCCACCTGAAAGGAGAAAAATAATCACAATTTTAATATTCTTTTTTTTTTCTTACTCATACATGCATTTTAAGTTCACTCCAAAATAGTCAATTTTCTTACAAAAGCTTCAAAAACCTTTTTGTAAAGCTGGAAAGCTTCAGATCTTTGCCTTAGAAAGAGTAGTGATGTCTACTGGCTCCATAAGTCAACAAAAATCAAAAGGAAGCAGCCAGCTATAGATACCAAAATGATTTTTTAGTGCTATAGATACTGACAACAGATGGAAGGCAGTCAAAACTCTCACAGGGCCTGAGCTCAAATGACAGTACAAAGAAGGAACACACTTAGCACTTGCTACTATGTGCCAGGGACAATGCTGAACCCATTCCACAGATTATTTCATTTGTTTCTCAGAAACAGTCCAATTATTCCCCTTGTTTCCCAAATTAGGAAAATGAGGTTCAGTGACCTTTCTTTAACCAGAGTTTCACAGGTAAAAAAGGGCTTTGAATTCATGCAGTCTGACCCTAGAACTGTGCTCCTGATATGCACTAAGCAACAACATGATCTTTATAAGTGAATCAAAGCAGGGCTGGGGATATAGCTCAGTGGCAGTGTGCTTGTTACAAGCACAAGGCCCTAAGATTGATCCCCAGCACTGTAAAAAAAAAAAAAAAAAACAGAGAGAAGTAAACCAGAGTTTAAATCAAAAGAATGAATTTCTAGTTTCCTACAATTACACTAGATAATGAAGACTTAGGAAATTGCCCATTTTACACAAAATTCATCAATTATAATAATAAAATCAGAACATATGCTAAAAATGAGCTACATCATCCCTTTTATTTTAAAGAAATTAAGGAATTAAAAAATCTGAGAAAAAGCCAGGCACCGGTGGCTCATGCCTGTAATCCTAGCTACTCAGGAGGCAGAGATCAGAGATCAGTTTGAAGCCAGCCTGGGCAAATAGTTCCGTGAGACCCTATCTTGAAAAAACCCATCACAAAAAAGGGCTGTGGAGTGGCTGCTCAAGGTACAGGCCCTGAGTTCAAGGCCCAGTACTGCAAAAAAAAAGAAAAAGAAATCTGAGAAAGCCTTTTTCATTAAGGAAGAGTTCTTTCCTGCCCTAACACTCTTGGGCATATATTCAAATGACTGTAAATAAATATACAAGAAAAATCCCTGCATACCCATGTTTATTGCAGGCCTGTTCACAACAGTCAAACTGTGGGAATGGCTGAGGTGCCCAACAACCAATGAATGGACATAGAATATAAGGTATAAATATACTATGGAATATTACTCACTCATAAAGGAAAATGGAATTATATCATTTATAGGGAAAAAAGGATAGAACTAGGGATTCATGCTGAGTGAAATAAACAAAGCTCAAAAGGCCAAATGCATGTTCTAACTCACTTGTAGAACCTAGACCCAAAATCATGATGATAATCCTAGTGAGAATAATGGGACATGAATATAAATGGAGGACTATCTGTCTGGGAGGGTCAGCAGAAGGTGGGAGGGGAAGAAAGGGATACTGAGAGGTAAAGAGGATTGAAGTACACTACATATACACATATAAAGGCAGCATAAGGAAACCCACTAAATACTGTGTGAAAAAAAGGGGAGAAGGGAATGGAAACAAAAGGGAGGGGGTAAACTTCTTCAAAGTACACTGTATACACACATGGAGTTATCACAATGAAACCCCTTCATATTATTGATGTATGCTAATTCAAAAATAAAATTTTTAAAATGGGAAAACCATTAATTTGGAAAATGCATCTGTAAAATTGACAATTAAATGTACTTTCAACCTCAAGAAAAACAGTCACTTTACATTTTAATGGTAATTGGTGGAAGGTCAATATTGTAAGCAAAATTATCTGACTTTCAAATCTATTGCTGGATGACGTTCAGTAATGACCTATGAAAACCTAATTTAAGCATCATTTCCTCTCAGAAGCCTTCTGGATCCCCACTAACAACGACCAACTAGCTCGTTTCTGTTATGCCATGATTTCTTTCATGCTGCCTAACAACCTTACAAATGGGGATGGACATTTACCTTTGTCTGACTGGGGCTCATAAATGACTTAGCTTTTTTTCACTTCTCGCCCACTTCTGCCCTTGACTAGCCACTAGGAAAACTACTTGGATAGTATATGTACAAAAAGAAGTTAAAAGTTCAGTCTTAGTTCTGAATCAGAGACAAAATGACACTCAAAATTTCCCTCTATTATTCAAATACTGCCTAAAGAACTGCAGTCTCAGTTATATACAACCATATTAGCCCTACCCATAAGAGTAAATGCTAAATTAATCAATGCTAAGCTGGACCTTATTGCATTCTTACTTACTCAATTTAAAATGGTAATATAAGCTGTACTTACTCAATTCTTATTTGAATGCTAATCATCTTGAGTTTTAAAAATATTTTAGTGTCATGATAATTAAATGAAAAATTAAGATCACTGCTTAGCAATAAAGTATTTGATGAGTTATTAAATGTTATTATCTGCTATCTTTTATTTCTTATAATACAAAAGTATATGTATATTATAAACAATATCAAAAATTACCTTTCCATTCAAAATCCCTATGATTTTCATAAACTGTGTCAACTTTATTAGACCTCTTTTAGAATAGAAGACAATGACAGACAGCTTAACTAGACATACAAACTGTTAATAAACATAGAACATTCACCATGGCATAAATGATATTAAGATTAATACAATTATCCACACCACTATCAGAAATATTAAAATACGATGAACCGTGAGTTCTAAATCCTACATTCCATTTATTTCAGCTCCTTGGTTATTATATAGCTTTCTCCAACCTGAGTTTTTTAATAACTGAATTAGCAATTTAGTCTTGTGAAAAAGCCCTAGATATTTGCTACTTCTATGGGAACTCTTTTGGATGATTATTACCTTTATTACTGTCATGAATTTCCTACTCAAATGAAGACAGAAGTTAGGAAATTAAAGAGGGCAAGCTAACCTACCACTATCTCATAGTTAATTCCCATAATCCTCTGCCACTTTGTCAGCAGGAAAGCTTCTTGTTGCTGTGTATCTTCTGTTTCTTGTACCTCATCTGACAGCACCAGACACCCTGGAATAGTCAAGGCAATTATGTTAGTGACAATCTACAAAAATTTTCTATATCTTAACATTCTAAACTAGGGAGACTGGTCATAACCTCCCTATTGTACCATCTTTACCCAATATATAGGTTACTCTCATTTCTATATCCATTTAAATAAGTTAACTTAGAACCCTATTTGCTTGTTAACATTGTTCTCTTTTAATAAGATGCCTTGCAAATCTTAACTATACTACTATTAGAGTACCCATATGTCACCTCACTTTTATTTAAAGAATGAGGACTCTGGGTTGCACAGAATTCATTAATGGCTACTCTACAGTAAAAAGCCATGTTACTTTAACCTTAGTTCTATTGGGAAAAACAGGACTACAGCATTGCTTAGCAAAAATAAACAAAAGAAATCAACAAGTAACATATACAATTCTATGTACAATAAGAAAATATAAAAAAAAATACAAACCAATGAAAAATTGAGATTGTGCATTAGCACAAAAGCCTGTAATTGGAATCCCACTAATTAGCAAAAGGTAAAATCAAAACATAACAAGGAAAGAAAACCAAAAAACAAGTGACATAAGCAATGCTGCATTTAAAGTGTTTAGCTAAAACAAGAAACTAGCTGAAAAATTTTAAGGTCATATTCAAAGATTTCTACATTTCATTTAGTTCTTATTTGGCAATATTCTCTACACTGATTTGTTTGTGGGATGGTGGGGAAGTTTCTGGGGTATGAACTCAGGGCAAGCAAGTTGAGCTTGGCTGAGCATAGCTCTACCACTTGAGCCATGCCCCCAGCCCTTTTTTTGGCTTTAATTATTTTTCAGATAGGATCTTGAGTTTTACTTTTTTGCACAAAGCCAGCCTTAGACTAGTATCCCTACCTTACCCTACCATATAGTTAGGATTGTAGGCATGCACCACTCCTGGCTCCAAATGACTTTTTAAATATTCCTTTCGGTATTTAAATTTCAAAATCAAACAGTAGTCCAAAATTCAGGTTTCTCATTAGATAGCTCCTCTTTCCTGGGAATTAAGGAGCTTTCAGTCCAGGCACATCTTGCCTATTTATCATGCCCTATGTTAATGAAATGATTCTGGTTTTGTCTTGAGAAACTGTACACAAAAGATTATAATCTTTTTTTCAAAGAAAAGAATTGGAGGAGTATATCTCAGGGGTAACATGCAAGGTCTTGGGTTCGATTCTCAACACTGGAAACTAGTATCATCATGAATGTTTTCTCTTCAAAATTTAATTTAGTCATGAGAGGAATAAGTATGAAAGGGTCAGCACAGCTTATAAAGAATCATTAAAGCTGATTCTGGGAGAAAAAGAGAAGGGTCATTTCCGAGACTTACTCTTACCACCCTCTTTCTCTCATTCCCTTTCTCAACTGTTTACACAGTTCAGTAGGGATTTAATCAGGGTAGGATATGAATGGAGAAAGTGGGGCATCAGTAAACTACTGATAAAAACAGTTTGACCTTTATATTCATCCAATAAACTTATGGCCCTACCACAGGTCATATATTACCACCTTCCAACTGCCCCAAGACTAGACTTCAGGCACTTAAAAAAAATCATTAAATCTAGTCCTTTGATCATACTGAAAAGTCAAGTATCCAGGGCCTCACAGTAAGTCAAATTTCTGTGAAAAGGGCAATCTTCTCCCCTGTCTGAGGACCCACACAGAGCAGATACATTAGAATCATTTACAAGTTTCTGCTTTACTTTGTTTAAGAAAGATTCTGGGACTCGTGATTATAAGTCTGAATTCCCCACTCCCCACCTGTTCTCCCACATACACATGCAAATTTCCCATTAGCTACCTTCCTGAGAGAAAAATAGATGGTTCTGAGCCTTCAAGATAACCCCATCGCCCATCCCCATTTACTATTTCAAATTTCATGTTCTGATCATTGCTACCACTTCACCCAATATTCACTTTACCTTAAATAATTTCATTACCTATTATTGTAACAATGGCAGAATATGATTTAACACTGTGAACTTTACACATCTCCCTTCCAGGGTATCTTTACAAATACAAATATCCCTTTAAAATAATAATAATAAATTAAAAATTTTTACAGAAAAAAATGCAAAATGAAGAGGTAGATATGTTAAAGAACTACAGAGCTTCTTTATAATTATTTGGTGAAGAGCAGAATTCACATGAAGAGAGTTCAGTCTTAGACTGTGTTCAGAGGGTGGAAGTAACCAAGCACCTAAAGCAATGTGGCACATAAGAGAAGCACCCAGCATGGAAAGATAGTTGCCACACTCTGCATAATTACATATTAAAACTAAATTTTTTAAATCATTTGATGGTGGATCCTGGTCAATTAACAGCAAAAAAAAATTCTCAGAAAAGCTTGATGATCTCTCTGTATAATTACTTTCCAAACCAACTTCTCAATATTAAAAGTGAGAACTCTTGAAATATTGAGAAGTAAAAAAGTCTCTTGCAATTCAATAGTTTCACTCCTAAGAACTTACACTCTCCTTGTTTATTTCAAAATACTTTACAATTTTATCGCTGTTTGCTCAATAAAGTAGAGACATATCAGCTATTTACATGCAAAGGGATTAATTTAAAAACCACATACATATCCAATTCATTCCTACAGAGTTCTACTCAAAACAAAAAAAATTGTAGAACAGACTGAGACAGCAAGAAAATATACCAGCTATTAATGAACTATTTTAATCTACCAGAGCAATTAATCCTACCAATAAATACATATTTATAAGCATTGCTTTTCTTAGGATTTTTTTTAAGTAACATACAGTATATCTATAAAGGCTTAATCTCATTTCTCTAAAAACATAATAAAGCAGATTGCAGCATGGCTCTACGTATTTACCTTCTTCTTCAATTGGTAATATGTTGGTATTTCTTCTCAAAGACAAAGAATCCTCATCTTTTTCATAATTTTCTTAAAGATAAAAATATTTTTTGTAGTTTTATCAGTAATATAATCAAGCACTTGAAGTTTTCTAAATCCAATGCTTTTGTCTGACCCCAAAATGAGACTCTGCTTTTTTGGAGATAAACTCCACAGTAAACATACATACTAAAAGGAAAGTTCTCCTAGTGGCAAAGATTCTCCTGCAACCTGCCTCCCAATCTCCTAGCATTGTCGTAAGTAGTATATGACATAAATACCAGAATGGCCAACAGGTTTAGCAATTATATGGCACTTTCCAGCCAACAGCCCAACATCAATACACCCTTCCATCAGTAAGCTAATTTGCAAAGACATTCATGAGCAGTCCATGAATGGCATTACTAACAGTGCACTTAAGCTGATTTCTTCAAGGAAAGCTGGGCAGTTAGAGTCACCAGGTACTCTTATAAATACTCTAGGTAGAATTGCATCTCCCTAAAGAATGAAAACCATGACATCTAAAAGTAAGGCAAGGACAGAAAGATAGGTGACTTCGAATCTTTTCAACTGACAAGTGGTGACTGCATGAATACAGCAGAAAGAAATCTGCTCTCCTCAGAAGCTCATTCTAAAGTACAAGGATAAGTAGATGGTTCCAGTTAATTCTGACTTTCTTAAACTTTCTCTTTTTACTTGGTTCACAGTGAATATACTTCAGTGTAAAAACTATTCTTCAAGTAAGTTATTTTGGAATTAGAAAAAAAATCTAAATAACGTAAAAGTCAAACTAAAACCAGTTTTAGTTCCACCCTTTTCTTTGTGGCATTACCTTTGCTTATGCCGGCATTAACAAGAGACACATCCACTTCTTTTGTGACATCCTCCCTAAATGTGAGCTCCTCTTCCTGCTTCATTCCTCTCCTCATAAGTGTTAGGCGTACAGTTTGTCCTGTGTGTCGCAACACCTCTACTGCCTGCTGATTGGTAAAACCCTGAAGGCTGGTACCATCTACCTGTGATAACAAGGCATGTTAAAAATAAATACACACTCAATGCCAATTCACAACATGTATTTAGTGCCTATTACTGTGAGAAGAATGAGGAATGAGTATTTCTCTAATTGGGAGATAAGCAATAATACCCCAAAACCTGTTTACCTAATACCTGTTAAATGACATACACTAGAAATACTTTCATTTGGTTTGGTTTGTTTTAATACAGACTCTACGACAGTACTTCTAGAACTGAAGAGCCAATGGTTTTAGGGAGTGAACAGCCTTCTATGCCTCTTAAAATAGTTGTTCATATTTCTTGGGTGATCCTATCGCATAGTCAAGTTTCAGAACCAATACTATGGAAAATTTAAAAATATAGATGGCAAAGAGGAAAGCATTCACTAAGGGCATATTTATACTGCCTTTAAAAAAGAAAAGAAAGACAAAAAAACTGAATTGCTTTTTATTTCCATTTTTCAAATAAATATGATTTTTCCTTTTTCTAATTCAAAAATGACACATTTGAAAAAGCTCCCACAATCTTTCCAAAGAACTGATATGATATCACATCATCCCAACCATTCCTTCCATAGAATGATCCTTAGGACGATGCTCTGCACTCTGCACATGGCTTAGGATGCTGGGCTAATTGTCTGCGCCTCTTATCACTATTATCATCCTGCACCCTCACCTGCATGATGCTTCCTACTACCTTTTGCCCTCCAGCCAATGGGACTCATTTCAAATTGAAGTGTTTCCTTCAGCCCTTGCTAGTTCTTTTTCCTCAGATCACCTAGGAAACACTAATACACCAATACTTGTTTTAGATCTCAGTTCAGTAGTTACTTCTATAACTTAACTACCTCAATATCCCTGACTGTAGTCATAGCCCTTTTACCCATTCTCCTTCACAGCACTTTTCAGAATTTTCTTCACCACGCTTTTATTTTTTTTCCTGTCAATACTGGGTTTTTAATTCAGGGCCTTGTGCTTGCTAGACAGACACTCTACCACAGAATCTTAAATTTATATTTTCCATCATTATGTAGTTTATGTTTGTGTACTCTAAAAACTGGTTCTATATTGCTTTTGTTTACAACAATTCACCAAAACACTATGCTGTCCATAGTAGATATTTACTCCAAATGGGAGTATAGACAAAGATTTATTTGGAAATCAAATTACTTCTTGAGATATAAGAATATAGACTATGACATCATATTTTTTAAAAATTAAAAAAAAATCATAAAGAAAAGGGTGGAAAAATGGAACAATAAATTAAATGTTGAAATTCAAAGTCACTGTTATTGCTCAAATTGAGAAATGGCTATAAAATGTTTCATGCACTTCAAAGCACAATACTAGCTACATAAGGCACTCAAATATCTACTAATATATAAGAATTATGAGATCTACAATAGTGTTCCCCAAGATAGAGCATCCTCACTACAGAGGTTTCTACAAAAATATACTACTACTAGTTACATATTTTAAAAACTCATTTGCTTTATGTATGTGCATACATGTGTATGTGTATACACACATATGTATACAATATATAAAAATATGTATGACATTGAATATATAGAAGGAAAGAAAGCACAGTTGAACACATGGGTAATTATTTTTACTAGTGGGAATATTTGGCCAAAAATCTAGAGACCTCTAATCTAGATGAAAATCTCACACTTTGTGGGTTTCTTAAATCTTGTATGATTCTTCTGAGTTAGATGGCAATTTGAATACAACTGTTTGACTCTCTTAAGATTGCCTTTTGGAAAGACTAACACATTATAATAACAAAAAATAGAGAAACAAAATTGGAAACCAACACGCAAAAAATGTTCCTACACCCATAACTTGGAGAGATTTCTACTAGAAATGGTCTAAGCATGACCAGACTGAAGGAAAGCCAGCTGAATACCTTGCGGAGAATACCTTTTATGATTTTTGAGAAAATGCTTCAGTAAATATCAAACAACACTCTCATTAAAAGGAGGTGGCAGAGAATCTCCACTTTATGTTAAACAGAGAAATCAAGAGGGCCCCTGGGTGGCTAGTCGCCCGTGCCCAGATGGCTTGGGAAGACACGGACAAGCTTACTGTCCATTAGTACACTAATACTCCCTGTTTATACCTTTGAAACTTTTTTGTTTGATTTCTTGTTTTGTTTTTTCCTAATTGTCTGTTTATTTGTTTTTCCCTTTTTCTTTAACTTCTTGCTTTCCATCTCCTCTCACCCTTCCATTCTAAATATTACCATTGTTATTATTACAAGCTAGAAAATACTTAATTGCACACAGTACAGGGACAATAACAACACCAAGGACAATGACAGGAAGATAGAAAAAACAGGGAAACCAGTTTCCCCACAGCAAAAAGTTACTACAGGAACCAGAGGGAAATGAAGAAAACAGATACTCAGATCCAGACTCCAAAAAAAATGAAGATAAACTATGCCAAAGAAACCAATGAAGCCCACAAGAATAATTTAAAAGAAGACATACTACACGTACTCAATGAGAATTTTAAAGAGATGATACTGGATAAGGTCAACCAAAATGTACAGGAAACACTCAAGAAATTCTGAGACAACAAAAATAGATAATTTGAAAAACCCAAAGAAGAAATAAAGGAAACCATAGAAGAACTGTATAAACACCAAAGTGAAACAGAGAACACGATTAATAAACAGATAAATGAACTCAGGACAAAAGTAGACAACATTAAAGAGGAAACCACCCAGGATATGGAAAAACCTCAGAAAAAAGAACAAAACAGAACTGCAAAACAAAACGGAAGACCAATCCAGCAGAATAGAACAAACAGAAGACAGAATCTCAGAACTTGAAGATGAAATGGTAATTAAAGGAAAAACTGAAGAACTATTAATTAAACAACTCAAGACCTGTGAAAAGAAAATGCAAGAACTCACTGACTCCATCAAAAGACCAAACTTGAGAATCATGGGCATCGAAGAAGGAGAAGAGGTGCAAGCAAAGGGAATGTAATATATTCAACAAAATAATAAGAAAATTTCCCAAATCTAGAGAAAGATATTCCATACAGATGCAAGAGGCTCCAGACACCAAACAGACCAGATCAAAATAGAACTACCCACACATATCATCATTAAAACAACAAGTTCAGAAACTAGAGAAAGAATATTGAAGGCTGTAAGAGAGAAAAAACAAATAACATACAAAGGTAAACCCATCAAAATCACAGCAGACTTCTCAACAGAAACATTAAAAGCAAGAAGTGGGGTGAGATCTTCCGGCACTGAATGAAAATAACTTCAACCCCAGGATACTCTACCCAGCAAAACTATCACTCAAAATAGATGGAGCAATAAAACTCTTCCATGATAAGCAGAAACTAAAACAATATGTGACCACAAAGCCACCACTACAAAAGATTCTTCAAGGGATTCTGCACACAGAAAGTGAAACCCAACTTAACCATGAAAAGACAGGCAACACCAAACCATAGGAAAAGAAAAAGCAACAAAGTAGAGAGTAACCTCAACTTAGGTACACACAATCAAACCTTCAAACAACTAAGACAACTAAATGACAGGAATCACCACATATATATCAGTACTAATGCTTAATGTTAACGGACTTAATTCACCCATCAGAAGGCACCGCTTGACGAAATGGATTAAAAAGGAAGATCCAACAATTTGTTGCTTACAGGAGACCCACCTCACCAACAGAAATAAGCATAGGCTTAGGATGAAAGACTGGAAGAAGATTTACCAATGGCCCCCGAAAACAGGCAGGAGTAGCAATACTTATCTCTGACAAAGTAGACTTCAAACCTACATTGATCAAACGAGATAAAGAAGGACATTCCATACTAATAAAAGGGGAAATAGACCAAAAGGAAATAATAATCATCAACCTGTATGCACCCAATGTCAATGCACCCAATTTCATCAAACATACCCTGAAGGACCTAAAAGCATATATTAACTCCAACACAGTGGTTGTGGGAGACTTTAACACCCATTATCATCAATAGATAGGTCATCCAAACAAAAAATCAATAAAGAAATCCAAGATCTAAAATATACAATAGATCAAATGGACCTACTTGATGTCTACAGAACATTTCATCCAACTTCTACACAATATACATTCTTCTCAGCAGCCCATGGAACCTTCTCCAAAATAGATCATATCCTAGGGCACAAAGCAAGCCTCAGCAAATATAAGAAAATAGAAATTATACCATGCATACTATCTGATCACAATGCAGTAAAAGTAGAACTCAACAACAAAAGTAAAGACAAAAAACATGCAAACAGCTGGAAACTAAATAACTCATTACTTAATGAACAATGGATCATGAAATAAAAGAGGAAATTAAAAAGTTCCTGGAAGTCAATGAAAATGAAAACACAACCTACCGGAACCTATGGGACACAGCAAGGCAGTCCTGAGAGGAAAGTTTATAGCCATGAGTGCATATATTAAAAAGACTGAAAGATCCCAAATCAATGACCTAATGATACATCTCAAACTCCTAGAAAAACAAGAACAAGCAAATCCCAAAACAAATAGGAGAGAAATAATAAAAATAAGAGCTGAAATCAATGAAATAGAAACCAAAAAAACCATACAAAGAATTAATGAAACAAAAAGTTGGTTCTTTGAAAAAATAAACAAGATCGACAGACCCCTGGCAAACCTGACTAAAATGAGGAGAGAAAAAACCCAAATTAGTAGAATCAGGAATGCAAAAGGGGAGATAACAACAAACACCATGGAAGTCCAGGAAATCATCAGAGACTACTTGAGAACCTATATTCAAATAAATTTGAAAATCTAAAGAAATGGACAGATTTCTAGATACATATGATCATCCAAAACTGAACCAAGAGGACATTAATCACCTGAATAGATCTATAACACAAAATGAAATTGAAGCAGCAATCAAGAGTCTCCCCAAAAAGAAAAGTCCAGGACCTGATGGATTCTCTGCTGAATTCTATCAGACCTTTAAAGAAGAAC